ACATAATTATATGTGCACTAAACATGGTGAGACGTACATAAAGGAGAGAAAAAGAAAAGAGACACAGCACCTGTATAGAAGGGAAAGTAAAAGGGAAGGGGGGGACCCAAAACTGTATATAGTCAAACCTCTTCTTACGGCCACCTCTGCTTGCGTCCATTTTGCCAACGTCCACAGCAAACCCGGAAGTAACCGGCGGGTTTGTCGCTGTTCATGCATGCGCAGAAGCGGGCAATTGCCGCCTGCGCACAACAGCGCCTCTTCCAGCGACCCGTTTCAACCTCCAGACGGACCTCCAGAACAGATTATGGTCGCAGGTAGAGGTTCCACTGTACTTTACAAAGTTGCTATTGTACTTCACCAGATCTTAACCTATTACAATATTTGAAAGAATGGATTCCAAATATCATTGAATTTGTCCAGGGCAAGTCTGCATTTACAGTGGTACCTCAGGTTACATATGCTTCAGGTTACATACGCTTCAGGTTACACACTCCGCTAATCCAGAAATATTACCTCAGGTTAAGAACTTTGCTTCAGGATGAGAACAGAAATCATGCAGCAGCGGCACAGCAGCAGCAGGAGGCCCCATTAGCTAAAGTGGTGCTTCAGGTTAAGAACAGTTTCAGGTTAAGAACAGACCTCCAGAGCGAATTAAGTACTTAACTTGAGGTACCACTGTATATGCAAGTTGTTCATATGTTGTGATTTATGTTGTTGTTCAGTGCCTTGAGACCTTGGTGGGGATGTGGAAAGATGTTCTTAAACTCGGTTCAGGGTGGATCTGATTTTATTATCAGCCTGCTGTACTATGGTAGGAAGCTGGCCTGTTGTTGACATGACCCTTCTGTCAATACAACCTGTGATTGACAGGGTTGGTGACCTGCTTGATAGGAATTTAGGACTCCTGCATTTGGAGTTGGAGCCATGGGGTCTTGCAGGAAACAGCTGCATAGTTTCTCAGATCAACCCAAAGTATTGGGTATTTTATGACCTATTGATCAAAGGGAGAGTTGACAGATACTTTATGATCCAATGAGACAAATTGAAGTGTAATATAAAAGCTTGACTTGTGTGGTTTTCCAAAATGATGAGCTATAAGCATCTATAATAAATGACTAGTATTTACTGTATCTTCCTATTCTCCTGGATGAAATCTCAGTAAAACTGAGCATTATCTAGAATATCTAATGTGTCTGCAGTGCTGTGTTGGCAGTCCGATATAATACAGAAACCTTTCCCATTCCTGTGCCCCCCCCCAGATGTTTTGGACCACAATCCCCATTAGCCCCAGCCAGCATGGCAAATGGTCAGGGGTGATGGGAACTGTAGTCCCACCACATCATCCAGAGCACACCTGATTGGAGAAGGCTTCCCTTAGGCTATTTTCCATCAGGCAGATCTCAGAAATGTTAGAAATGGATCACTCATACTGTTGCACAGACAGCAGATCACAAGGCTAATCGACATAGAAATAAATGGAGGCATTTACATAAGTTGCATTATTTGGTATCGCCGGTATCAATTTGAAGCAAAACAACTATATTCAAAATGGTGTCCCTATTGCCAAGACTAGGGTAGCACCTTCTATAGAACACATGGCTTTTCAGCTGGCTTTTCCAGATGGAAACACTTCAGCTCTTTCGTGCTGAAATGCGACATGCAAACTGCTGTGGCCAATCCTGTTTACATGGTTTACATTAATAAGTGGTAAGTGGCCACGCAGACTTGGTAATGCGATTTAAGAAATGCGCTTGATCTCAGAGTAACGTGCATCAGTTCGCTGACCTACCAATGTGGTACAGCTGCCAAAAGAGAAAATTAACTTCGAGGCTTTATTAGAAACAGCATTTCGAGGAAGGACAGAGCAGTCATGAGACCTCATATGAAGCACTACTGTCCCCATTTGCTCTCCCTCATACAGGTAGCCCAAAAGCATAACCAACAGTCAGGAATAGAAGGAAGGCATCAGAAAGCAGCCCTGTATCGGGAGGTTTTTAATGTTGGACATTTTATTATATTTTTATATGTGTTGGAAGCCTCAGCCAGATGGGTGGGGTATAATAATAAAAATATTAATATTATTATTTACTGAATTTGCACTACAGCCCCCCTGATCTGTCCCAGGGGACTGATATGTGACGATACTCCCTGTGATGTCCTGGGTACCACCTGCCCTGGCCTGTATCTATTCCTGCAGAAATTTGAGGGGAAATTTAAAAAACCCGATTCAGAGAAGTGCGGATATCAAAGGCTGCTTGCTTTTTGGTCTGCATATTTTTTCAGAAAGTGGAGATTAGGTAAATTCACCTTTAACTGCTAAATGCACCGAATTTCTTCCCCATCCTTACTAGTGGGTCGACTATAAATCTTTCACATTCTGTTAGATAGCCCTGTGACAGGATTGCCTGGTTGCTCTCTTCACCTCTCTGGCCTCTGGTAAACAGACTTCCAAGCTTCCATTATCTCGCAACAGCCCTTTTTTTATTATTCTTACAGGCCACAGATACAGTTCTGTGGGCTGATTGATGAGGTGATTGTGTTTCTACCGCCCTTATAAACTTGTCCTCCTAAACATTAAAGAAGCTAGTAATGTTTTAGCCAATTACGGTCTGTGAGGGACAATTTAATAGCAGCACCGTGAAACATTTCCGTTCCTTGATTTTATGAGGTTGAGCTCTGCTAACTTATCGATTTTATTAGTATTGTTGCACACCACCCCAATCTCTGAGCCGTGCGAGATTCCAGGGGTTCAGTTTCCTCGGCATAAGGGGCAGCAAAGACTGTGGTGTCTTTAGGATACATGGTTTATTTACACATATATACATCCTGAGCCTACAATGGAAGGGCTCACAGCATTAACACCCCAAGAGGGTGTTGTTTCTGCCATAGCAATAGCCTTGGGTTCAAGCAGAAATCAATTCTCTCTCTCTCTCTCTCTCTCTCTCTCTCTCTCTCTCTCTCATCTGCATCTAGCTTCTGACTCACATACCTCAACTCTGCCCTTTGTCTTTCTAACTAACAGGCAGTTGAGGGGAAGGTACCCCACCATTTGCTCTCTTGCACAGAGCCATTTCCTTTGTTACCTTAATGGCCCACACTTAGGAGGCCATTACCAGGAAACTTGCTTGGCTATTCTGGCAATGGAATCCTGGCTGGGACTCAGGCCTGCATACATATATACATTTTGTTGTTGTTGTTTAGTCGTTTAGTCATGTCCGACTCTTCGTGACCCCATGGACCACAGCACGCCAGGCACTCCTGTCTTCCACTGCCTCCCGCAGTTTGGTCAAACTCATGTTGGTAGCTTCAAGAACACTGTCCAACCATCTCGTCCTCTGTCGTCCCCTTCTCCTTGTGCCCTCCATCTTTCCCAACATCAGGGTCTTTTCCAGGGTCTTCTCTTCTCATGAGGTGGCCAAAGTACTGGAGTCTCAGCTTCAGGATCTGTCCTTCCAGTGAGCACTCAGGGCTGATTTCCTTAAGAATGGAGAGGTTTGATCTTCTTGCAGTCCATGGGACTCTCAAGATGGCAGAAAGTGAGGAGGAATTAAAGAACCTTTTAATGAGGGTGAAAGAGGAGAGCGCAAAATATGGTCTGAAGCTCAACATCAAAAAAACGAAGATTTGCCATCACCTCCTGGCAAATAGAAGGGGAAGAAATGGAAGCAGCAAGAGATTTTACTTTGTTGGGCTCCATGATCACTGCAGATGGTGACAGCAGCCACGAAATTAAAAGACGCCTGCTTCTTGGGAGGAAAGCAATGACAAACCTAGACAGCATCTTAAAAAGCAGAGATATCACCTTGCCGACAAAGGTCCATATAGTTAAAGCTATGGTTTTCCCAGTAGTGATGTATGGAAGTGAGAGCTGGACCGAAGAATTGATGCTTTTGAATCATGGTGCTGTATGCTGCCTTTCCACGGTTCAAACCATCCTCAAGGCAGCTTAGGAACATGAAGCAAATACATAACTACAGCCAGTGCTACTTTTCTAGAAAGAGAGGTGCCAGAATTCAGCCATGATCGCCTCCCTTGTTCTCTTATAATGGCAACGGCGCCCACCTGAGAGGGGCCGGAACTGAGTAGTGGTAAGTTCCGGCTAGAAAAAAGCCCTGACTACAACAAAAGTAGTTAAAAGTAAAACATTTTTAAAAACACACAACTAAACTGAACAATTTCCACATAAATCACAAGATCTAAAATAAAGATAAGAAAACACACAACAGCAACAACCCCACCAACAAACTCCTTCCCACAAACACCCCAGGCCAAGAATCTCCTCAGCAGCTTCAGCTTTTGTAGCTGGAGGAAGTCAGGACCCTGCCCTCCCAGGCCAGGTATATTTCCCCCCCAAATGGACATGAAACAGAGATAATCTGTTGTGAACAGGACACTGCTGCAAAGACAAGTTCTTTAAAAAAAAGAAAAATGCTTTCTTCATACATTGAAATACAGTCTCTTCAATGTTTCGTCATATTTCCTTTTAAATTACACTGCCGACATATTTTCCTTCCTGTTCTTAAAGATGGTTGCGTTCAAAGCAGTTTGTTTTCTTACAAAAAAAGCTGAATTTATGTAAAGTTCAGTACACGTGTTCCCAAATTATGTCATAAACAGCATAATCATCACAACAAGCAGGGCTTTTTTTCAGCCGGAACCTGCCGGAACTCAGTTCTGGCACCTCTCAGGGGGGCGCTATTGTCATTCATGGTGAGTTCCAACACCCCCCCTTTTTCTAGAAACTGACAAGTGTTTCTGCAACACATGTCCACCTCATAAAATTCAGATTTCCCTTCTGTCCTTTTTCTTCTTTTTAATTTGTTTGGGGGACTCCTCGCTCTCTTCAGACTCGGTCTCTGGCGGACGCGCACTGTTTTGCCTAACATTCAAAACTGGTGTCTCCCCCACCCCGCCTCAGACTCGTAACATTGCTAAACCAGTGGTTGTTTTTTCTTCTCGTTCCAACGGTTGGGCTGTTGTTTTAGATTTCTAGAGCACAGAGAGAGAGAGATAAAGGAACCTACTGAAAAGCTTCGAGCACATGTTTTTTGTTATTTTGAACCGCAGCAGAAACTGGCTGAGTAATATGATCAGAAAAGGCAAACCCAGAAGAAAGGAAAGTGCCAAGGAGCACACAATGGAACAACTCATCTGTCTTCATGTATGCAAATTTAACTATAGCCTTCCAGGAAACAAGTTACCAGCATTTCCTATACAGTAGTACCTCGGGTTAAGAACTTAATTCGTTCCGGAGGTCCGTTCTTAACCTGAAACTGTTCTTAATCTGAGGTACCACTTTAGCTAATGGGCCCTGCCGCTGCCGCCCGATTTCTGTTCTCATCCTGAAGTAAAGTTCTTAACCTGAGGTAATATTTCTGGGTTAGTGGAGTCTGTAACCTGAAGCGTATGTAACCTTAAGTGTCTGTAACCCGAGGTACCACTGTATATGTATCCACCTCCTGCTTCTCCCTCGTGCAAATATGAATTTATTTATTTACAGCTTTTTATTTATTTCTTTTTCTTCTTAGACTGTCTTTCTGGGCATATTCCTCTCAATAAACCAGTTCCTAGGGCTTTATTTAGCCTAGGAATGAGCTAGATTTCCTATGGCCCTGGTCATTTTAGGTTATTTTATAAGGTTGTGAATATTTGCTATGGCATGAAACCTTCTATGCATTTAAAACTAGAGTTGTGCACAGGCCTGTCCTCTAATACACTCTGTGGCCCCTGGATTGGGAAAATTCACCCTGTGCCACCTCAAGGGCCACCTGCCCTGAATCTTTCTCCAAAGCAATTTTTGGGATAGGGTTAAGGGTCTTCTTCTTCTATTATTTAATTGTTGCAACAAATAACAGTATCATACAGACTAATATCACCCTAACCTCAAATATGGTGTTTAGGCAATGCATGCAAAATCACATCCCAGCAGCATAATAAGTTCTTTTCCCAGACTTTTCCCATTTGTATAAAAGGTGATAAACAATTTATGTTAACCAAAAGGTTTTATACTGTGAGGGAAGTCCTGTTTTCATTTTTAGCCGTGTCCATAATAAAGATGTACCCAATCTGTTACAAAAGAGGTTTTGTGCTTCAAACCTTGTTTTAGCAATTTATCAGAGTTAGGGGTTTTAAAGGAATTTTTAAACCCTGTTTGTTCAACAAACAGTTAAAATAGGGTTTAAAAATATGGTCAAGATGGGGTGGACCTGAAGGGAAATTGATCTTTTTGGTGCTGCTTGAGGATGCAGGAAAGAGAAGAGACTTTGTGGGAAAGGCATCTACTGTACTCCATCCCCTATCTTCTCTAGTAACAACAACAACATTTATACCCTGTCCATCTGGCTGAGTTTCCCCAGCCACTCTGGGCAGCTTACGGCATATAAAAAATTGTAAAAACATCAGACATTAAAAGTATCCCGATTCAGGGCTGCCTGCAAAGATGCAGCCCCCTGGTGGGTCCCTGATCCTCCTCACTCACACCTACTTCTCTTTCCTGCCTGGTGCCCTATCAGCCCCACATGTTTCTGAGTCACTCAACCCAACCTGTAGTGATCCAGGGTTGTTTGAACCTATTTGACCAAGGCCCAGATACCTCCAAATGGGCCCAATTTGTTTGCACAGCCCTGTTCACTACAAATGAAATTGGCCACAAAGTTAATCATGTCGAAGTCCCACTGATTGCACTAGAAGAGTTGATTATGTCCTTAAATCTCTTCCTTTGAAATCAATGAGACTTCAAAGTGATTAACTTTGGGTGCATCCGTGCTGTTGTTTCTTATTTGTTAGGTGAAAGTACAGCTTTTCTTCCAGTCTTTTCTACTGCCTCTTTCTGTTTAGCTCATTAGCAACTGTCCCCCTTCCCTTCCTGGGCTAAACAATGTTAAAACTAATTAATTATCAGATTTTTTAACAGATTGACTAAAACGATGTTAAACTGAGTACAGGAGTTGCCCATGGCAGATGGTGTGAGTTTCTTGGAGTTTGCAATTGTGGTGCAGCAATAAAACTGCTAGCACATTTGCAAAGCTAAGCAGGGTCCTGTATGGTTTTGAATTGGATGGGGGACCACATGCTGGGATTCCTGCATAGGGGTTGGATTAGATGGCCTTTCCAACTGTACAATTCTATGAATTGTAGATAGAATTGTCTGCATCTGCAAACATTCTCCTGCCTGTGTGGAATACAGGGAAAATGGAGTGTAATGCCCTAAAAGGGTTTTGGAGGTGCCTTTCTCCTTCCTGATCTTTCTCATTCTCATGCTGTGATGAGCAAAGCCAAGCTTTGGCTTAGCATATCACCCGAACTCGTTGTTTAGTCGTTTAGTCGTGTCCAACTCTTCATTACCCCATGGACCAGAGCACGCCAGGCACTCCTGTCTTGCACTGCCTCCCACAGTTTGGTCAAACTCATGTTGGTAGCTTCAAGAACACTGTCCAACCATCTCGTCCTCTGTCGTCCCCTTCTCCTTGGGCCCTCAATCTTTCCCAACATCAGGGTCTTTTCCAGGGAGTCTTCTCTTCTCATGAGGTGGCCAAAGTATTGGAGCCTCAACTTCACGATCTGTCCTTCCAGTGAGCACTCAGGGCTGATTTCCTTCAGAATGGAGAGGTTTGATCTTCTTGCAGTCCATGGGACTCTCAAGAGTCTCCCGAAGAGTCACCCAAACTCAGGATTGTGGTTAAGCTTTCTCCCCTTTAACCAAAAGCTGCACCCAAGCTTTGTCCTTGGCCGCAACTCACGGTTAATGAAGAGAGAGTTTGACTATGGCCCGAGGTTTGGATGACAAACCTGGACATTGCTTGGCAGGGGAGTGAAAAGGACCAGGGAGGCACAAAGTAGATGTGAACTCCTCTGTAGAAGCCCACATGTTCACACAGTTCCAGGTTAGCTTAACATATTGTGCAAACACAGCCCTTCTATAGCAGTTACAGTAGCTGTAAGTTGTGGTTTTTGTCTCTCTCTTAGCATTTAAAAAAATGACAAATTTTGTCTGGCTCAGAAAATATGGCAGCTTCCAGCAAGGACATGTTGGACAATGATAATAATGAATTGTTATTAAATTCATAACCCGCTCATCACCAGAAGGTCCAAAGTTAACAGCAACATAAAACACAACATGAAAAACAGTGTAAGATAAATTTCAATTAGAACCAGAATGGGTCCTAAAAATGCATATCTCAGGTGTCAAAGACCAGGATATAGAGGTGCGGCTTAAGACTACGGAGGGCAGCCATTTTTGCTCAAACGGTATTTGTCACAATCAGTGCTGTTTCCATTCTGCTGCTGTTCAGTTTCTGCCAAATACTACGTTATTCATCTTCCTGGATGCTATTTAACATAAGTTACATAACTATTTATGTAATTGATGTTATATTCAACGTAAAGGCAACATCAAAACAAAGTTTAAAAAAACACAGCCGCTATAATTTATGTATCACTTGCAGACTTAAAAACAACAGTGTGAATGAATACATATCATACTCGCTTGGCTGTTTTCTGTTCCTGTTCACAAACAAACTCATGAGCTGCAGCAGTTTCTGCTTTCTTTTTTGTCAGATTTCTCTGACATCCCTACATTTGACTCATGCGGCAAAACCCCGTAGCATAGGTAATGCCCATTTCAATTTTTTTTTAGCTCTCATAAGCAAAACCCTGGTCACCTATGAGCAGAATTGAACCATCAAACACAGGAGTAGCCTCATATCAAATTGTTGTATTTTCAATTCGTTTCAGTTTCTGCAATAATTCAATGCTTCATTTTTGTTTTCCTAAGTGGAGTGTTCCAACATTTGAAATGTCAATTAACATAAAAACAACAGAGGAGACGCCTTCACCCCCGTCGCCAATGCAGAGTAGTAGATAATGGGTCCTTGAAAAACATAGGAAACAATCCATTGGAAATATGCCCTTTGTAGACTGCTTTGAACTGAGTGGGACATGGATGAGATGTTTTGTTTATCTGTCAATGGAAATATAAGACAAAGGCCAGGGATGTTTCACAGTAACAAACTGCCCATGTTCCAAAATCATGCCATATATTCTACTTCGAAATGGTAATAAATTATTCACAATGTGCTTGCACCTCCATCTCTCCAGTGCTTTAGAGGCAATTAAAATATGATCATCACAATAAAGAAATAAATAATCTTAATTAAAACAGTGCGCGGGAACGCAGAATGAAGATGTAGCCATGTAGCCAATGGGGAGCTGCGCACTAACGTGTGATTTTACATAGCTGTCAGCTTTATCTAATGTATGTCTGAAAATAAAATCTGCAGAGACCAAATGTGGATTTTATTTTATTTTTGCTTTCTCTGCAGGACTCTGGGGCTGTGCACAAATGAACAGATGAAAACATCCACGTGTAGTGGCTGCTGTTTTAAAATAAAAATACACTGCAAGATATACTTAATAATTAAGGCAACAATTTTTTCTGTAATTAGTGTCTTACACAATTGGAATGAACCCATCGTGATTTCTCTGCTAATGCAAATCTGTCTTTGATCCTCTGTCCAGATCTTAGATTATTTATCAAATGATAGAATCATATAGTAATTGGTGTTGCAAAACGTGGGGACTATATGCCATAAGTAGCTCTTCTTTTCCAAAGCATGCTTCTGTTTCTTCAAACATGCATGCCTTCTTTTACTGATGCTGTAAAAGGAAGTAAAGGTAAAGGTAAAGGGACCCCTGTCCGTTAGGTCCAGTCATGACCGACTCTGGGATTGCGGCGCTCATTTCGCTTTATTGGCTGAGGAGCCGGCGTACAGCTTCCGGGTCATGTGGCCAGCATGACTAAGCCGCTTCTGGCGAACCAGAGCAGCGCACGGAAACGCCGTTTACCTTCGCGGGGATTCGAATTGCCAACCTTCTGATCGGCAAGCCCTAGGCTCTGTGGTTTAACCCACAGCGCCACCTGCATCCCTGTAAAAGGAAGTACTTTGTGGCTATATGCCAGCTTCGGAGCCCCCAAATTAAGAGAAATATGCCGCACCTCTCTTCTTAAAACAGGTCTAACTGATGCTGCCAATGACATTCTCCGCTTTCTCAACAGGACATTCCTTGAGAAACGTTTCAATCTTTTATCGTAAAATGTCACCAGCACAGGTGAGGTGGGATGGGTCTGAATCACAACCTTGCTGAAGTTAAGCAGGTCTAGCTATGGTCAGTGATAGCATGGGGACCCGTGTTGGCTTTCTTCCATTAGTTATCACTGTCATAAATAAGCTCTAACACTTCAAATGAATGATCCTGATAACAATAGACTTCATGCAAGGGTATCCTGAGGAGCGGATTTTGGCAATATGGCACCCTGAGCAAGGACAAAATATGAATGCCCACCACCACTAAATATTTATTATTTTCACAGTAGTTCATTTTGGTACAGTTGCTTTTTATGGATCTTCTCAGTGGGTACCTGTATAAATATAGGTTTTATTATTGTTACTAGGGCTTTTTTAAAGCCGGAACTCAGTTCTGGCACCTCTCAGGTGGCCGCCATTGTCTTTCACATCTACATGCAGCCGCTGGGAGAGATCATCAGGGGGTTTGGGCTGGGTGTTCATCAGTATGCGGATGATACCCAGCTCCACCTCTCTTTCAAACCAGTGAAGGCGGTGAAAATCCTATGTGAGTGTCTGGAGGTGGTCGGAGGATGGATGGCAGCTAACAGATTGAGGTTGAATTCTGACAAGACAGAAGTACTGTTTTGGGGGGACAGGAGGCGGGCAGGTGTGGAGGACTCCCTGGTCCTGAGTGGGGTAACTGTGCCCCTGAAAGACCAGGTGCGCAGCCTGGGAGTCATTTTGGACTCACAGCTGTCCATGGAGGCGCAGTTCAATTCTGTGTCCAGGGCAGCTGTTTATCAGCTCCATCTGGTACGCAGGCTGAGACCCTACCTGCAGGCAGACTGTGTCGCCAGAGTGGTGCATGCTCTAGTTATCTCTCGCTTGGACTACTGCAATGAGCTCTATGTGGGGCTTTGAAGGTGACCCGGAAACTACAACTAATCCAGAATGCAGCAGCTACAGTGGTGACTGGGAACAGCTGCCGAGACCATACAACACTGGTCTTGAAAGACCTACACTGGCTCCCAGTATGTTTCCGAGCACAATTCAAAGTGTTGGTGCTGACATTTAAAGCCCTAAATGGCCTCGGTCCAGTATACCTGAAGGAGTGTCTCCACCTCCATAGTTCTGCCCGGACACTGAGGTCCAGCGCCGAGGGCCTTCTGGTGGTTCCCTCGCTGCAAGAAGCCAAGTTACAGGGAACCAGGCAGAGGGCCTTCTCGGTAGCGGCACCCACCCTGTGGAATGCCCTCCCACCAGATGTCAAAGAGAAAAATAACTACCAAACATTTAGAAGACATCTGAAGGCAGCCCTGTTTAGGGAAGCTTTTAATGTTTAATAGGTTATTGTATTTTAGTGTTCTGTTGGAAGCCGCCCAGAGTGGCTGGGGAAACCCAGCCAGATAGGCAGGGAATAAATAATAAATTATTATTAGTATTAGTATTAGTATTAGTATTAGTATTAGTATTAGTATTAGTATTTATTTCTAAGAGAACAAGGGAGGTGGTCATGATGAGTTCCAGCACTTCTTTTTCTAGAAAAACAGCACTGATTATTGATGATATTATTATTATTATTATTATTATTATTATTATTATTTCACTCCCCCTTGGCTTGGCACCTTGCAAGGGGGAACTGCCTGCACCACCCCAAACCCAGTGTAAAATGCTCCTCCAACACAGCCCCCCTGCAGATCTGGGCCCTATCCCTGCCACCACCATTGTGCTCACACTGCTACCTTCACCTGTGGCTGCACCCATGGCAGCGGTGGTACAGGCGGCTGTGGCCAGACTGGCAGCAGGGGGTGGGGCAGGGGTTGGATCTGCCGCCTGAGGCAAATTGCTTTGCCTTGTCTCATGGAAGGGCTGGACTTGACTCCATGCCAGGTGTGAGAGCTTTAAAAAACCGCTCACCCACTTTATTAAGCCACATTGATGCAATGATGTGTCAGGAGATGAGTCGTTTTGGCTACCTCAGGTTACCTCAGGCGAAATGGACCAATGGTCTGACACAATATATGGCGGCCTTCTGGGTTATGTTCACTCTGAAGAATTGGACAACCACAGAGTTGTTTGTCTATGATATTAATATTGTGCAGTTTGAAGTGACTGGAAGCATAAGAACTGACTCCTTTTGGAATAGATCATTGTCCAGACCCATTAAAATATTATTCAAACTTTTACTGGCAGAACTCTTAAAAGAAGAAGAAGAAGAAGAAGAAGAAGAAGAAGAAGAAGTCAACTCCCTTCAAAATGGAGATCTGCAACTCAGTATGACTGTACCAATGAATTCACAAGCTACACTGTTGTGGAATTCTTTATACAGGCACGTATTGATTTTTAACAACCGAGGCCTGCAGCGAAACGTTGTACGTGTCAAGGGTGGCCTGAAACAAGATGGCGGCATCCTCCATTCCAAGTACAGAAGTTGACCAGACTTCAAGTAAGTTGAACCTTACTTCAACATTGATCAGTGTCCTCTACCACATCTAGAGGCAGCAGGGAGAAATTTGATTCAATTCACATTCAAATTCTTAACTAATCTGCACTTTACAAAACAATGCACAAACTGAAACACAGCCATCCTCCAAAATTCAGAGCAATGGATAAAGACAGAAAACCTAACTCTTGATTGATTTGATGTTTTTATTTTTATTCAATAACTGTTGTTCTTTTAAAATGGGATCTTCTTAGAAGCCAGCCTAGGATTGTCCTCCAACAGTCTTTTAGATTGTTCACACGTCTCTTCATATATTGAACACTGACTAATGGCGTTTACCAATGATTGCAGCTGCTACCAAGCTTGCACCCGTGACCACAGCTCCTGCAGTAGCAGCGAATGTCGCCCAGAGACCGACTTCCGCCTGCAAAAAATAAGAGGTTTAAGCATTTTTATTCACAGTGACCGATGGTCCTTCATTTCTCACAACAGAGTTGATATGAAACATTGCTTTAAATGTTTCTTTTGGCGACAGAAAATAGCCAGATTTGAAACTCTCAGATTCCAAGACAATTAACTCTGGGTTTAAAATATGCTTTAAAAATTAATTCCAAGTAACAGAACATGCTTTGGTGCAAAAATCTGAGTTCTGTGGTGAAAAATATTAAAGGAATAGAGACCCAACATTTTTCATCAGGGTACAAGCCTGTCATTAATTTGGAAACCTGAGTTCGGAGTTTTTAATCTTCTCATTTGTCACTTCAGACAATTTGAATGTATGAACTGAAGTTATTTTTAAATGTTATGGTATCTATTTTTTGTTGTTCTGGTTTGCAGTACTTCAACATACTCCAAGTAAATGTTCCGTTCTCTTCCCCATCTTTGTAAATGGGGGTTAGAAATTAAATCCACATAAAAATAAATTAAATTACCTGCTTCTTAATCTCACTTCATTTTTCCAGGATCAGGAATTAAGAATGAATTTCAATATCACAGCACAGATTGCCATTACGAAAACATGAATGAATTCTACACACCTGTCTACTGTATGGTTGGCCATATCGTAGTATGGCAGCAAAATGTTCACAGTTCTGCATGACCACATTGTAGTCTATCTCCATCCCAACATATTCATTTGCAGTGCTAATTATTTCGCTTACAGGCCTGGCTTTATATTTTCTGTCCTTCTCGTTGTTGACCTTCCACTTGTTTATCCCAGCCACTTCTGAAAGCTTTTCTTTCTTCACCACTGACTTTTTTGTGTTGGCAGACAGGCGAATAGAGGGAGAACTTCCTATACCCTCATCTCAAGAACAGAGAGAGAAAAGAAACTCAGAAACAGTGACCATTAGGCGTGGATTCCCTGCATTTCATCAACAACATTGTCTTCAAGAAGACATCAGTTGTTGTTGTTTTGACAAATACTATTATTTTTTAAAAATTTGTTAGTCACTCTTATCTTGCCCAAGGCAACCCAAAACAACTTACAACCAACCAGAATGCAATCTCTTGGCTACAAAGCAGTCCTCTAACTGGCTTACAACAATTGCAAGTATCAGGACATAGAACTTCCAGCAACAATTAGTCCCTAAGCCAGTGGTGGGGAACCTCCCCCCCCCTTAAGGGCTGTGTTTCTTCAGGGGTAATCTGCCAATGATCTCTATCTTATTCTTTCCTCTCATAAAACCACCCTTTCTAGGAAATAATGAGAAGCTCTTACCTGCAGCAGTCAGGTGAACCACATATCCATCGCCTACGTAGATAGCCCAGTGTTGGTAACCCAATCGATAAATCTCAATCTGGTCTCCAGGCTTTGGGCTCTGCAAGAAGAAAGTGAGCCCATGTTTTCCTTGGCTAAACAGCTGTGCAAGTTTACTCAGAAGTAAGTCCCACTAGCTTCAATGAAACACACTCCAAAATACATAGGATCACAGCCACAGAGGCAGCCTTTTCTTTTATACTGTAGCTCAGGGATAGAGAACTTGTGGCCTTCCGGATGTTGCTGCACCACAACTCCCATAACCCCAGGACATTAGCTATAGTTGCTAGGGTTGATGGGAGTTCGAATCCAACCATGTCTAGAGGACAAATATTTATCCCAGACCTCACTCTGTGGCATCGTTATATTTTTTATTGTATTTATCATTTTCAATTTTACAAATTTGCACATAATATTAAGCCAAAATACAAACCATACATTTTCCATTGACTTCCCTTCTCCCCCGTCCATGGTTCATTTTATGAAACCTTTACTGCTGCTAGCAGTATCCTGTTTGATAGCATGCCAGTGCAAACAGATAAATAAGTACCACTGCAATGGGAAGGTCCACAAGATAGCTTTCCGGATCATGTGGCCAGCATGACTAAACCGCTTCTGGCACAATGGAACACCGTGACACAAAGCAGAGCACATGGAAACGCCATTTACTTTCCTGCTGCAGCAGTGCCCATTTATCTACTTGCACTGGCGTGCTTTCAAACTGCTAGGTTGGCAGAAACTGGGACAGACCAATGGGAGCTCACAGGGATTTGAACTGCTGTCCTTCCAATCAGCAAGCCAGTGCAAGTAGACGAAATGTTTATTGATTTTATAACGAGCCAAAGGCAGAAACAAAAATCAGTTCAAATATTGCATAATAAAGTAAAGTATAAAAATGAAAGTCAAGCTAACTTAAATAAAAATATTTAAGTCAAGAAAACTTACATAAAATTACAGTCATATAAGCAGTACAGAGCTCTCTTTTTGCAAGAAACTTAGTATCCATGGCTTGCAGGAGCATCCCTCTCTTCCCCCACAAGTAGATGAATTTTTCAACCTTTGGACCCTGTGATTATTCACGGTTTTTCTAAGTCAGACTTGCAAGGCAGGGGGAAGGAGCTAAAGCAGAGCTTTCCAAACTTTTCATGCTGGTGAAACACTTTTTATACACGCAGCATTTTGTGACACAGTAATTCAGTTTCACTAGCAAACCGGAGGTTAAACTAACCCCTTTCCAGCCCAGGAGGAGCGCAGGCAGCATTCATGTGAAAACACCGACACACTGCAGCCAACGCACGAATGTGTCGCAACATGCTGTTTGGAAAGCTCTGATCTAGAGACAAAACTATCCTAAGTATTCTTACTCAGAAGTAAGTCTCACTGTTTTCAATGACATTTTGCTCCTAAACTGCACGTTGGCTTGCAGCCAGAGATAGCAGTGTATGGCAGTCAGCAAGTCAAGTGGCAATTCTTATGTTGAAAAAACAGTCAAAGGGAAAACAATCAAAGGGAAGGTATTTTGGACGGGGTGGGGATTGATAGACAATGTCCCCTATTCAAAGGGGTTCTTACCTGAGCCATTATGTTTTGCTCTCACCGTCCTCTCCTTTCAAACCTCACTTTTGTTCTTTTTCAGTTTCATTTTCACTTTATATCCTTTAAAAAAAACATTGAAAAATCATGTGCTCAGCAAGGCAACAGTTGACGTCAATATAACATCTCCTGGCAACACTTCCTTAGTGTAGAAAAACAGCAGGAAAAACGTTTTCCCTGCCAGGATAGTTTTCCATATGCCAAAGAGGCCTAGAGCCCCCACCCCAACTCCCCAATATCCCAACATTTTAGAGGTCATTCCAGACAGTTTCTTTGTGATCCTTGTACCTGCTTTGACGACGAGTGTCTTTGTTTGTCTGCCTGCCTGCCTGCCTGCCTGCCTCTCTCTCTCTCTCTCTCTCTCTCTCTCTCTCTGTGTGTGTGTGTGTGTGTGCCCCAATTCCCCAAGCATTGAGGAGTTCAGGGGCTCAGAATGCCCTCAGGTTCTGCTTCCATTGCAATGAAGTCACTGGAGACTTATTGGCATTTTGTGATATAGGACTTGCATAGTTATATGGGTTGACTGTAGGTAAAGATTCACAGCATTAAGCACCCTGGAAATCTTCTGAAGAGCTCCCAGGAAGCTCTTGGATCCTCAGCCTGATCTTGTTTCCAGAAGTTTAAGAAGTATGGAGAAGGACTTTACCCCCACCTGAAAAAAATGGCCCTTCCCATTTCCCACCCGCAAATGGGGCAGTCTGGTTATTTTCAAAATGAAGAAATGCCACATTCAGATGTCTTGGAGAACGGATATGTGGCTGATGTTTGTGGCTCCCTGTAATTGTTCCGAAACAGCAGCCCACCTACTGCACATGAAATTCCGTTAGACTCTAATGCTAAGCAAATCCATGTGGAAAAAGCTTCCTCAGGGTCACTGCGATCCACTTTCAAAGAAGTGTATTGGTTATTAAGGACCATGTGCTGTTCAGAGTGGTTTATTAATAGCTGCTAAACAACCACCAATTTATTTCAAAATTAAGAGTACTGAACCAGATAAGGCCTAATTAATAGCTCGCTACCAGCATTTTGCTCTACCTTTTTAAATGTAGCACTGGAGCCAAGTAACTAATTTGAGCTCAGTTGTATTAACACCATTTCCATATTTCTGAAGCTGCAAATGGGTGGACCGGTATGTGAAACTCTTTCTTCAGTTTCAGTGGCTCCTGTGCTCCTTCAATTTTAGAAGTCCCATTTGTGTGTGTGTGTTTTAAGTATTCAACATGCATCTGTTTTTAGCTAATGGGACGTCTTTATCTGTTGCAGAAGTCTGTTCGACTTCCAAAACATTCAACTCCTGAAGCATGGCTTCTGATTGGCTGCTGGATGTTCAGCTTCCAAAAGAACATTCGAAAACCGGAACACTCACTTTGAAAACCGCAATGCTTGCAGGAACCCCACTGACATCCATGAAAAATGGGGGTTGTAAAACAGATGTGAATAATCTCTAACCCATCAAGTCAAAAGCAGCGCACTAGCTATGGGTTGTGGGTTTGGCCAGAGCTTCTGTCACTTTTGATCTCAGATGGGAACCAAAACCAGGAAGCAAAAACATTGCGACAGATGGGACTCTGTTCAACATTACTGAACGTTGAAGACAGTTTTGTTTAAGAAGGCTTTCCCCAAGGCACAACCCAGTCATTTATGACTTGCACCTTGGTAGGAATGGTTTCATTGCCTTTTGAGTGTGTAGGAATGGTCTCACCGTTTTTAGAATTCCTTTTTTTTTGGTATTTTTAAAAATTTTAATCTTGTACTTTACTTTGATGACCTCAGGCCATCAAATAATAAATGACTATTATTATTCGTCAAAACTTGTGTGCGCACTCAATGGTAAAATGTTTCGTAAGAGGAGGGACCTATTTCCCCCTTATATAAATCGGCCATTTTCTGTGGCAGCCCTAAGCAACGTAACAGAGGTGTGCCTGTCACCGTCATTATATAGCTTCTGGCAAATGCACCTCTTTACCCTGACTTTTGATAGTTGAGAGTGAGTAATAAATAAGAATATTTTACAATAAAATATTTTTATACTGTATACCGGTAATTTTTTTTTGCATTTTCCTATGTAGTATCATACTGAGATTAGTGTTTATAGAAACTTCTTGGTAGATGTGATCAGGAATATTCACTTAACATTTAAAATAATGTACCACATTATCCCAGGGCAGTGTGACACAAATAAAAGTTTGCTTGAATTCCAACGACTGGGGTCACAAGGGACTGAAGAGACTGACCCTTCACCTCACTGGTATTCCTAACTGTACCACTTGGTTTTGTTTTCTCCCATTTTCATTTATTTTACCATTCATTCCTATGGGAAAAACTAACGCACTGGACTTGTGAACTTGGTAGTGAATGGGACAACACTTCCTTTCACTGAGGGGGACCGTACAGGGAATGGCCTTACTCAATACTATGCCAAAGGTCCTAGGTTCAGCTACCAACATCTCCAGGGGAAATTCTGACCTCTGTCAGAAGCCCCAGAGAGCCCCAGCCAATCAGTGTGGACATTACTGAGCCACATGGACCAATAGTTGTGAGTCAGTCTAAGACACCACCCTGTGCTCCCACATACCTCCATATACATTATACTCCTTGTCATGATAGGCATTTTTCTAATCAGTCGTAAAAAACAAACAGGTAAACGTCCACCTATATGCCGCCCAACTATTAGAAGCTTGATACATTTCAAAATTAAAAACTAACCTGTTTCCCTTTTTTAGTCGCAGGAGCTGGAAGTCGTCCAACAGAAGATTTTTATTTGCTTCCCAACGCCACACCTATTTGCAGTACAGTGGTACCTCGGGTTAAGTACTTAATTCATTCCAGAGGTCCATTCTTAACCTGAAACTGTTTTTAACCTGAAGCACCACTTTAGCTAATGGGGCCTCCTGCTGCTGCCGCGCCGCCGGAGCACGATTTCTGTTCTCATCCTGAAGCAAAGTTCTTAACCTGAAGCACTATATCTTGGTTCGCGGAGTCTGTAACCTGAAGCGTATGTAACCCGAGGTACCACTGTATTGGCTATGCTTTCCTTTTCATTGTCACTTGTCCACAATCCGTGTGCTTTCCTGGATACCACCTGTTTCATTGAATTACAGGTGCGTCGCTTTAGAATTACTTCTGAAAGAGCAAAAAAGAATCAGAGTGTTGAACTTCTACGTTTAAGTTTACACTAAGGACATAGGAATAAGGAAGCAGTTCAGTCAATACTGGAAATATAGAATTGTACTATTTGGCTATGGAAAACCTGGCAACCTAAGATTGCACCTATTATTTTTCTATTATTCCCAATATCACATCACCCAGATTCCTCCCCTCCCCCAGCAAGGGAGAGATAAGCAATTTGAACCCTGGGGATCCAAAGGTTTATGCACATTACGAGATTTCTATACCAACAATCAACCTGTATCTATTAACCGTGTACCATATTTTTCCGTATATAACACGCCCCCATGGATAAGACGCCCTCTATTTTTGGGGATTCAAACTTAAGAAAATGGAGGGAAATTGCCCAGAGCTGTTGAGCTTTTTTCCACTTACAGTCTCTGGGGAGCAGAAACAAACAAGCCCACATCACCAATATGCACTGACAATGTATAAGATCCGCCCCCCCCCCATTTTAAAAATTACTTTTCTGGCACAAAAACCTTGTCTAATACACAGAAAAGTATGGTAAATTTAACTTTGTCAAATCTTAATACTAACTGGATTTATTTTAATCAAATGAAGCTCTGAGACCCTTAACACAATTTGAAACGTTCTAGAAGCACAATGAGTAGGGAAAGGGAGGAATAGTTTCTAAAACAGACTCTGTGTTGCTTAATGTAACTTACAGATCTATGGAACCTCTTAAAAACATGGTAACTGGATACTAGCACACAAATTCTTCCCAAGGATTGGAATAAAATTTGGGGATCGTGACCCTTAAAATCTCTTTTGGAACGGACTTCCGGAACTGATACTGCTTGACTTCCAAGGTACGACTGTATAGTCTTCATGGGAAAACCGCATGTTAAACCTTCTGCAATATACCTTTCGCCATTTTTCATTTCTGTGTCAATTAAACCCTTTATACTTAACACTGTTGATCTCCATGACCCATCTGCCGCTGAGGGGAGACAAGGCCCACAGCAAATACTACAGTACTGTATAGTATGGGTACTTAGGCAAAGTCTGCTTAGGGCAGGGTTCAGCAACGTTTTTCAGCTGTAGGCCGAGCCACTGTCCCTCAGACCTTGTGGTGGGCCAGACTATATTTTGAAAAAAAATATGAACGAATTCCTATGCCCCACAAATAACCCAGAGATGCATTTTAAATAAAAGCACACATTCTACTCATGTAAAAACACGCTGATTCCCAGACCGTCTGCGGGCCAGATTGAGAAGGCAATTGGGCTGGATCTGGCCCCCGGGCCTTAGTTTGCTTACCCCTGGCGTAGGGGAACTGTTTGCCACCTTACAAGCACATTCTGTACAAAGGCCAAAATGGATGCCATTTACTCCAGGTTCATGCCTATCTCACCTCCCTCCCTCCAGTTACTAAATCTCTCTAATAGGTCTGGTATACCAGTTTAGGAAATCCTACCAAATTGGCTTTTGGGTCTGGCGCTAGACCAAATGCTTGGAGTGTGTCCCACTAAAAAGACGGCCATCCTTTGTTCCCTATAATGTCTCAGATTGCGCCTTTTCAAGCCCCGCTTTAACCCCCCCAAATATTGTACGTTTTTCACATGCTACGCACTGAGCAATCAAACCTTTATTACTCATTTAATTTGGAAGCAATTACTTGCTGCCTGGATTTATCTCACACACTTTTCAAATCTCAAAGCTCTTTTAACAGTCGGTATTTAATGAGCATATGGCAAATGTCCTCGTGATTCCAAATGTAATACCTCCCTTTTAATGAAGGGGGGAATTAGAGCGATGTTTCACAATTCCCAGTTATTTGGGTTGTTAGACGCTCCAGAGGTATCAGCATTAAGGCCCTGAGACTTCATGAGGAGGTCGACGTGTTGACATGGAAGTGGGATGATGTAGACTGTAAATTGAACATGTAAAATAAAAGAGGCAGCCTATTTAATGAGAGGTGGGGAAAGCAGTCTCAAACAAATATAAAAGGCAGCACCATGAACAAATCAACCTAACAGGGTTAATGTTTCCCCTGTATATTTAAAGTTCCTTCTCCTACCAACCAAGCCAGCTAGTAATCCTCTCAAGCCCTTATTCAATCTCCCACGTTGTATTTCTGCTACTGCTGAATGTTACTGTAGTATGAGGCTGATTATTTTGTGAATAGGTGGGATAATTGGAAATTCTTATGCCTTTGGAGACAGAAATCCAGGACTAGCCTGAAACTAATAAGGGACATGTGCAGACCAGGCGCTTTTTCCCTCTTGTTTGGCAAAAAATTATTTCATTTACAAATCCATCTAACATAGATCCATACTCATGGGTAGCTCTGTAGATACAAACTGTAGATAACAAATGCCTGTCAGTGATCACTTTCTGTAGTTATGCTGCTCCTGCAGGCCAATCAGGTCCCTGATTCACTTCCACCTGGAGTTGGATTGGGTGGCTCCTGCGGACCAATCAGACTGCTGCATTCTGGACCCTATTGATCTAGGATTCAGCTCAGTACATAACAGGGGAGCACTCAGGAGAGGAAAACCTCCTCTCCTTCCTTCACCAAGAGCAGGCAGTTCAATTCTGTAGGGTGCTCTTCACAAGTGGCTTCTCTGCAGGAAAGCCACTTTCAAAGCTGTGCCTGCATCCTGCTGGAGCAATGCCCTCCACTCTCTGATCCTGCAGGATGAGGGGGTCAGGTGGAAGATGCAACTACTCGTCTGGTAGGTCTTGGCCTTTGTGCAAGGCTTCACACCTGACTCCTGCTTCCCCTTCCTGCTTGAGGCCCTGCCCCAACCACCACAGATTGCTTTGAGCCATCAAACCTGAACCGTAGTGATCCGTGGCTGTCTCACCTTGATTGATGCCCAATTTACTCCAAATAAGCCCAAGCTGGCCCAGGACTCGGATGAATCTGGTGCACAGCCCTAGTAAGAGAACACCACTTGGCTCAGGAACTCTCCTGCAATATTCAGAGAAGTGCAAAAGATGGCTGCATTTCGGTTCTGCCAAATGAACTAGATTTGCCTATGAATGTCAACAGAATCAAAGCTCTCCAGCATCCCTACCTGCCAGCAGCACCGAGTCTGCATGCAGATGTCACCTGGGCTTTGCAGCTCCAGAACAAAAGGACTGGACTGTGCCCAAAATGGTCACCATGGAAGCCCAGTTCTACACACCGAATAAATCCTGTAAATATAAACGCCTACCTTGTTCTAGCTGCAACACAATATTGTTATGTTATGCCAGTTTTTTTATATATGTGTGTATATATGTATATGTATATGTATATGTATATGTGTGTATATATATAGTGTATATTTATAGACTATATTTATACACACACACACACACACACACACACACACACACACACACACACACTGCTTCTTATCTCTGCCCCTTTTGATAACTCTCATGCTGATGAAATCACAGGAGTCTAGAAAAATAAATGATTTCCTTTTACGCCTTCTTAGGCTGAAATCCTTTGCATACATCCCTGGGAGGAAGCCCAGTCAGATACAATGGGACTTGCTTCTGAGTAAACATTGCTTAGGATTGTGCTTCAAACATTCTCTGTACAGATGACAGATAATGAATGACACAAACAAATTGCTTAATGGAAAAGGAGTGGTGTTTATCGCTCTGCAGAGGAAACATATCAGGATGCCAAAGGGATTGATTTTTATCTTAAGGCATTAATGACTTAATGCAAAGGCATTTCCTGATTATGGAAAAGGGGCTTGAGTAAATGAAGACAATGTTTATTTTTCTTGGTGATTAAGAATTTAAACGCTGCCACTTTAAGAATCAAATTCTCCTTTTTTAAGCTCTCACTCCAAGCATTTGAAACACCTTGGTCCGCTGTGCTTGGCCCACCCACCAAACAAAGGCCATGATTGGCTGGTTCAGATAAGGATTTTTGACGGGCAATTCCACAAGACTGGCTGAGGTAGATTCCAGTGGCCAGCTGCAAGAGAAAATTGTTTTCTCTGTGCCCAGGGGGAGCTGCATCCGGCCACAGCTGCTACCCATCCAGAATTCGGGTGAGGTCCCCTTATTTTCTGCCACATCATCAATAACACCATCCTTTTCAAATAGTAGAAGGTGATGTCCTCTCCCCCTCTTTTGCAGAAATAATTCCCGCTACCACCTTAAATAATCAATCACCCACCCAACCAAATAATTTCCACAAGCAAAGATGATGTCTGACATTTCCAAGCTCAGCTTTGAATTCTTAGTGGTGAATATAGTTTATCACATATGCTTTTCTTATACAAAAGGGGAATTGTCTCTTCCGCAAGTCCTTCAACAAATTTGGGATAAGTAACATCTAACCAAGGGACGCGGGTGGCACTGTGGGTTAAACCACAGAGCCTAGGACTTGCCAATCAGAAGGTCGGCGGTTCGAATCCCTGCGACGGGGTGAGCTCCCGTTGCTCGGTCCCTGCTCCTGCCAACCTAGCAGTTCGAAAGCACGTCAAAGTGCAAGTAGATAAGTAGTTACCTCTCCGGCGGAAAGGTAAACGGCGATTCCATGCGCTGCTCTGGTTCGCCAGAAGCGGCTTAGTCATGCTGGCCACATGTAGGCCGGCTCCCTTGGCCAATAAAGCGAGATGAGCGCCGCAACCCTAGAGTCGGTCACGACTGGACCTAATGGTCAGGGGTCCCTTTACCTTTTTTAACATCTAACCGGTTCAACATTTCACTTGATGTAAAATAAAGCCTTTCTGTTCTTGGTACTCTTTGTGCTTCTGATGGTTCAGTCAAGGCTTATGTTTCTGTATACAGTGGTACCTCTGGTTACATACTTAATTTGTTCCGGAGGTCCGTTCTTAACCTGAAACTGTTCATAACCTAAAGCACCACTTTAGCTAATGGGGCCTTCTGCTGCCGCTGCTCGCTGGAGCACAATTTCTGTTCTCATCCTGAAGCAAAGTTCTTAACCCGAGGTAATATTTCTGGGTTAGCGGAGTCTGTAACCTGAAGTGTATGTAACCTAAAGCATATGTAACCTGAGGTACCACTGTATCTTGCAAGCCATGGGCCTCTTCTTCTCTCATTCCTTATGATGGTACTTTCCAATTACCTTTCTGCATCTCATTATAAATATCCGGCTTTATTATTTTTTCTTCTGAATGTAACATCTCATGCCAGCCTTGGTTGGGTTTAGTTTTTATTTGTTTGTCTCATGAGGTTCTATTTTGTCCTTTGGGTTATATGGATAAAATTCAATAAAAATAGATTAAAAAACCCTTATACTCTTCTTAAAAGGTAAAGGTACCCCTGCCCGTACGGGCCAGTCGTGTCCGACTCTGGGGTTGCGCGCCCATCTTGCTTAAGAGGCCGGGGGCCAGCGCTGTCCGGAGACACTTCCGGGTCAGGTGGCCAGCGTGACGAAGCTGCTCTGGCGAGCCTGCACCAGCGCAGCACACGGAAACGCCGTTTACCTATAAAGCGGTACCTATTTATCTACTTGCACTTAAGGGTGCTTTCGAACTGCTAGGTGGGCAGGAGCTGGGACCGAACGATGGGAGCTCACCCCACCGCGGGGATTCGAACTGCCGACCATGTGATTGGCAAGTCCTAGGCGCTGAGGTTTTACCCACAGCGCCACCCGCGTCCCTATACTCTTCTTACAGGACCTAAAATGCAAATGTTGCAGAACAGGAGGTTCATGTTGCAAATTCTCCAAAACATAATGAAAAATTGATTTCTTTTTCCGAAAGGACATAAAAAGCAGATGCTACCAAACTTAAAATATTATTGACCTTTCAAATGTTTTTTTAAAAAAAGAGAAACATATACTGAAATTACAACAACAACAAATTAAATTTGTATGCCACCCTTCATCTCTGTAGATCTCAAGTACATAACATAAAAATACAAGATAAAAACACAAAATACATAATAAAAACAAGAACCAAAAGAAAACCACAAACTAATACCCCCCTCCCAACCTCGTCCCGCTGGAATGTGTCTATAAAAGAAATAGCTGTCTGGCAGTAGCTTATTTTCCTCTCCACCCCAGTAACCTGTAAAGATATTTATCCTTTTTAATATGAAGTTTTTCAGTCACTTGAAAGACTTCCACATACTGCTACAGTGGCATTACCCATTTTTAATTTTTTGATTCATTCCTCATTCAGAGGTATGGCTCCCAAGTAAATTTTTGTATCACTGATTGGACAACTGCATTTTGTAGTATAGAGTTCCATCCCTTAATCTCCAGTTAAACAGAACTGAACAAAATAATAATAATGATCCCAGTCTGTGTCATTAAGAAATGCCATCAGCTATTAACCTCAGAATTCTCCTCAATTTACATGAGGATTAAACTTGAGTCCTCCATTTTTAACCCAGACTTCCTAAGCAGGGGCAAAAATAATAATAAAAATCTGACACCAACATATTTGTTTTACTCTATATCCTGAGAAATCAGATGGCTGCTTTGCAAAACTATGCAAAAAAAGGTAATCTGTTTCTTGCCAGATGGGATCCCTCCACTGCGTCTTTCCATAGCCTCATTAGGCAAAGCTCTATATTATAGGTTAATCTTGCACTCTAATGGAGCACTGTGTGAAATTATAAGCATAAAGCAGATAAGTATTTTGAGTATCCTCACTTTATTTTATGCAATGATAAGAACTAACCACTATTTACACATACTTTATAGATAGTGGTTTCCTAGTCTGCGTTTCTATTTTACACTTTTGGAAGTAAGCAGGAAGACAAGCATGCAGTTCTGTGACATTGTGACCCCTTACTAGATTGCTTCACCTGGTCAGGAGAAGACACCAATATGAGGGATGGGAACAAGGCAACTGAGAAATTGGAGGCTTTGTTGTGTGACAAAACTGTGCTATGCCACTGAAATGGAAAAAGAACAAAATGTGAGTCTCCTCACCCTTTTAAAGTCTATTGTGTAGATGCGGAGAGAGCACATCCATCTGTTATCTGTTTTCACATTCTTTTATTTATGAAACCAAATCAGCCAGTGAATTTATATAGAAATGGAGGAACCAAGTCAAAATGGAATCCCAACCAACTATTGTTACCTGTCTGATGACTTTCCGACACTATGCAGAGATGATTCCCCTCCTCTCCTATGCATATATAAGGACTCATGGCAACCTAAAAATAGCTCACCAACTTTGCCCAAAAAAGCTCACCAACTGTCTGGATTTTCACTGTTTGAAATATGGCAACCCTACCCTGATATGTGTTGTCTGTGTCCTCTTATCTACTTGCTTGTTTCCTATTTTGAATTTTTATTGTTTTATTCTTATTAGATTGTAAGCAGCTTTGAGCCTTAAAAAAAAATGAAAAAGCTGGCTAGAAAGACTTTAAAAAAATAATAATTTGACGAGTTCATAAAAACCTGCAAAACATGGTGCTTAAATATCTTGTTTCCTTGTCTTATACCTTGGAGTTTACCCTTTGCCCAAATATGAATGGGTGGGTTTTGTTCCTTGATGGTCTATTTGTCATTAAGAAGTGTGGAACCTACAACCAAGTGTTGTGCTATATAACCTTTATCCTAGTAGCAGGGCTCAGGGTTCCTGCCAGTAAGCAAGCAAAATAAAAAATAAAAATAAAAAAGTAGATCATGAGAAAGTGGTGGGACAGTTGCGGTTACAGTTTATTTTACAGTTGAAAGTAGCGTTTAGACCGGCAAACACAGGTAAATAATATTGTAAGCATTGCAGTGATTTGGGTTTGCAGTGATTTGTAATTTTCTTTTTTTAATGTCAAATATATTTATTATCTTTCTTCCAAGAGCAGCACATGTTTCACACAGGATGAAAATCTAAGGCTTATGCAAATCCTTAGCCCTCAACATTGAAAAATATATATGCTTATATATGAAGAATACAAATGCTGTAATAAATTAAGCCTTGATGCAACAACATGAGTTAACAAAAACTCCAAAAATCCTCAACAGTTGATCCTGAAACATTTGTTTTTTTGTGCATCTGTATACACAAAGTGATTTTCATTGTAGTTTTCATTTTTAAATTACCTAACATAGCTAGTTAAACTAAAAAGAAGAAAGGCAGAAAAGAAAGTACAGAGCAAAAATCATATACACCAAACTGTGTTGTAAACCTCAGGATCTATTTTGCCATATGTTTTACTATCTGTTGGCACTCACTACCGGAGTTCGCGAACAGAGGGACTGATGTCGATGTATCTCACCAAGATGAAACATTCATTCATAGGGAAAGCTTCACGAAGCAGCTAAGAGATCACATGAAGGATGACGCTTGGTTTTAGCACAAATTGAAACCTTCCATTTAAAGATGGAAAGCAAAACCTGCACCTGACAGCAAGACACCCACAGATTGTCATGTTGATAAAATACTTGCTTTCAGAATGTGCCAAGGCACTAAGTAATTAATGAAGAAAAAGACATTGTCGTTCAGGGCAAAGTACATGGGAAAGCACATACTGTTGAGATGTATGACACTTGCTCTTGATAGTATTTTTCAACTAACCAGAATAAAACTTAGGGAGACAAATAATGTGGCCATCTCATACCCCTCAACTATCCCAGTAAAACCGGGACTTCCTGTTTTTTCTCATGAGAGCATGGTCCTCACCACTATCATGATCTCACACAATCTTAAGCTTAAACCATCCTAATTGGCTATCTCTACACATACTTTACATTATTATTATTATTATTATTATTATTATTATTATTATTCTGCCCGGCGGTTCATATAAAAAGATAGCAGTATTTAAAATTAAAATAAAAGCAATAACCCAATAATACACCCCCTCCAAAAAAGAGCCACATTTTAAAAGGGTATGGGAAGTTGATCAGGTCAACCAAAGGCCTGGTTAAAAAGGAATGTTTTTGCCTGGCACCTAAAGGTGTATAATGAAGGTGTCAGGCGAACTTCCCTGGGGAGAGCATTCCACAGACGGGAGGCCACTGCAGAGAAGGCCCGTTCTCGTGTTGCCCCCCCTCCAGACCTCATGAGGAGGAGGCACACAAAGAAGGGCCTCAGAAGATGATCTCAGGGTCTGGGTAGGTTCATACAGATAGAGGCGGCCCTTGAGGTATTGCAGTCCTGAGCCGGTTAAGGCTTTATAGATCAAAACCAGCACTTTGAATTGGGCCCAGAATCGCTCCTGTGTCCTGCACAATGCCATAGCAACAGATATATGTAAGCAAAGTTATAAATTTGTACCATAGAGAATGTTTCATTTCCCTGTCAGAAGAATGTCTGAGTCCAGTTTAATTATTGTTCTCCTGGCTTTAATGCCACCCTCCCAGTCTTCTGCTGAAGGCCAGCGAGAGGCTCGTGATGGGTATTATGCTAGCAAAAAGACAGAAATGCATCTTTTATTCACTAATTGGGGATGCAGGAAGAATTAGCAAGCTGTCGGGGCTTCAGACTAGTTGACCTTGTTCTTTCAATGTCTTGCAATATTAGAGTCATTTTGCAAAGCAAGCAAGCTTCTTATACTGTATGAGGAGAAAAGCATAAAGTAAGAAGCATGTAGAAACAGGGAGAAATTGGGGTCACAAGTCCATTCATTGGAAAAGTACAATTACGTCATAACTTAAAGCAGAGTGGGGTGCAGAGTATAGCTCTGTTGGATCTACTTTGTATTTTACTAGAACCCCAAGTTCTGGTCATCAGAGCCAGATTTAAAAAGACATGTCCTTTCAATGAAAGCATAAGATGCCTCTGAGCACATTCTGAGCCTAAGAATTTATTTTCAGCCGAATTCATGGTCCTTGCACACAAAGGTCCACTCCTGGTATTAGCTCTCCTTTCCTTACAGCTGTCTAATTTAGGTGGGGAAAGATGGTTTGCAGTTGCTATGGTTAAACAACTGGGAATCAGAAATACTTGCTGATCTACTGCTAATCACTCTGAGATCTACCAGTAGATCTACCTTCTTCCTAGCCATAGCTTAAATGTTCTTTTAGGAAGAAAATTGGGCCCTCCCAGGTAGCTTTCATAGAATAGAATCATAGAATCATAGAGCTGGAAGAGACCACAAGGGCCATCGAGTCCAACCCCCTGCCAAGCAGGAAACACCATCAGAGCACCCCTGACATATGGTTGTCAAGTCTCTGCTTAAAGACCTCCAAAGAAGGAGACTCCACCACACTCCTTGGCAGCAAATTCCACTGTCGAACAGCTCTTACTGTCAGGAAGTTCTTCCTAATGTTTAGGTGGAATCTTCTTTCTTGTAGTTTGGATCCATTGCTCCGTGTCCGCTTCTCTGGAGCAGCAGAAAACAACCTTTCTCCCTCCTCTATGTGACATCCTTTTATATATTTGAACATGGCTATCATATCACCCCTTAACCTCCTCTTCTCCAGGCTAAACATGCCCAGCTCCCTTAGCCGTTCCTCATAAGGCATCGTTTCCAGGCCTTTGACCATTTTGGTTGCCCTCCTCTGGACACGTTCCAGTTTGTCAGTGTCCTTCTTGAACTGTGGTGCCCAGAACTGGACACAGTACTCCAGGTGAGGTCTGACCAGAGCAGAATACAGTGGCACTATTACTTCCCTTGATCTAGATGCTATACTCCTATTGATGCAGCCCAGAATTGCATTGGCTTTTTTAGCTGCCGTGTCACACTGTTGGCTCATGTCAAGTTTGTTGTCAACCAAGACTCCTAGATCCTTTTCACATGTACTGCTCTCAAGCCAGGTGTCCCCATCTTGTATTTGTGCCTCTCATTTTTTTTGCCCAAGTGCAATACTTTACATTTCTCCCTGTTAAAATTCATCTTGTTTGTTTTGGCCCAGTTCTCTAATCTGTCAAGGTCGTTTTGAAGTGTGATCCTGTCCTCTGGGGTGTTAGCCACCCCTCCCAGTTTGGTGTCATCTGCAAATTTGATCAGGATGCCCTTGAGTCCATCATCCAAGTCGTTGATAAAGATGTTGAATAAGACCGGGCCCAAGACAGAACCCTGTGGCACCCCACTAGTCACTCTTCTCCAGGATGAAGAGGAACCATTGATGAGCACCCTTTGGGTTCGGTCAGTCAGCCAGTTACAAATGCACTGAGTGGTAGCATAGTCAAGACCGCATTTTACCAGCTTCTTTACAAGAATATCATGGGGACCTTGTCAAATGCCTTGCTGAAATCAAGGTAGGCTACATCCACTGCATTCCCTTCATCTACCAGGCTTGTAATTCTGTCAAAAAACGAGATCAGGTTAGTTTGACATGACTTATTTTTCAGAAATCCATGCTGACTATTGGTGATCACAGCATTCCTTTCTAGGTGCTCACAGACTGTTTGCTTAATGATCTGCTGCAGAATCTTCCCTGGTATTGATGTCAGACTGACTGGGCGGTAATTATTTGGGTCCTCTCTTTTCCCCTTTTTGAAAATAGGGACAACATTTGCCCTCCTCCAGTCTGCCGGGACTTCGCCTGTTCTCCAGGAATTCTCAAAGATGACTGCCAGTGGTTCTGAGACCACATCTGCCAGTTCTTTTAATACTCTTGGATGCAGTTCATCTGGCCCTGGAGACTTGAATACATCTAAACTAGCCAAGTATTCTTGTACTATCTCCTTAGTTATTCTGGGCTGTGTTTCCTCTGCTGAATCATTTGCTCCAAATTCTTCAGGTCGGGCATTGTTTTCTTTATCGGAGAAGACTGAGGCAAAGAAGGCATTGAGGAGTTCAGCCCTTTCTGTGTCCCCTGTTTGCATTTCACCATCTTCTCCTCTGAGTGACCCCACTGTTTCTTTGTTCTTCCTTTTGCTACTGAACATACCCATAAAAGCCTTTTTGTTGCTTTTAACTTCTCTAGCAAGCCTGAGTTCATTCTGTGCTTTAGCTTTTCTGACTTTGTGTCTACACGTGCTGGCTATTTGTTTGAATTCCTCTTTGGTGGTTTCCCTTTTTCCATTTTTGTACACATCCTTTTTTAATCTTAACTCAGTTAAAAGTTCTTTAGATAGCCACCCTGGCTTCTTTAGGCACCTTCCATGTTTCCGTCTCATTGGTATTGCCTGAAGTTGTGCTTTTACTATCTCCCTCTTAACGAACTCCCACCCATCATGAACTCCCTTTCCTTTTAGTATTACTGTCCATGGGATCTCACCCAGCACTTCCCTAAGTTTTATGAAGTCGGCTTTCTTAAAGTCAAGAAATTGAGTCCTAGTATGCTTGGCTGCTCCTTTCCGCTGTATAGTAAACTTCAGAAGAGCATGATCACTCGCGCCTAATGATCCTTAGACTTCTATCCCACTAACCAGGTCATCAACATTGGTTAGGACCAGATCTAAAATGGCTGTTCCTCTTGTTGCTTCTCCCACTTTCTGGACAATGAAGTTGTCTGCAAGGCCAGTGAGGAATCTGTTTGACCTTATGCTCTTGGCTGAGTTTGACATCCAACAAATATCCGGGTAATTGAAATCCCCCATTACTACTATCTCCCTTCCTTTTGCATGCTTGGCCATCTGTTCCAGGAAGGCATCATCTATGTCCTCCGTTTGGCTTGGGGATCTATAGTAAACTCCCACAATGAGGTCACTGTTCTTCTTCTCTCCTTAATTTTGACCCAAATGCTCTCACTTTGGCTTTGAGGTTCTAAATCTTGGATCTCTTCACAGGTATACACATCCCTGACATATAACGCCACTCCTCCTCCTTTCTTGTCTGGTCTGTTTCTCTGAAATAGATTGTATCCCTCCATTATGACATTCCAATCGTGGGACTTATCCCACCAGGTTTCAGTGATGCCTATTATGTCATATTTAGTTTGCTGTACCAAGAGCTCAAGCTCATCTTGTTTATTTCCCATGCTTTGCGCATTAGTGTACAGACATTGAAGTCCATTAATCACTTAATCCTTCCACTTCAGAGTGCCTCTCTGTTTAGCTAGCTGTAGTACTGAGAGAAATACCAACTAGAAAAGGTCCTTAGGGTTAGAGATTCTTCAGAAATAGTCAGTGTGTCCCAGACAGGGATTTTCTCCTGCCGAAACTTAGTTCTAGCACCAGGTGACCACAAACCTAGACCAGGGCCAGTGGCAAGTGGAAGAAGGAGGGGAGGAGGAGGCAGAAGAGAGAAGCCCAGACTGGTGCAGGTTCATTGGGGCCTGCAACTGAATAGACAAAGCAAGGGTGTCAATAACTCACCTAGCGGACATTTCTGTCTTTCTCCACACCCTTCTGACAAGCTTCCAGGTGTCAAAAGGGCTTGTGCTGTAGTAGAGTGTCGGAGATCATCTTTGGCCAGAGCAAATACCTTAAGGGCATCTCAAGAGCAACTTTAAAAACACTGGGGCTGGTACAGTGCCAGTGATGATATATGGACAATTTATACAAATGGGAAAGTCCAAGGAGCTCATTAAGTGCAAGTGATCATTCAGGTGGTCATTCAGTGAATAGTGAAAGCCTGCTTCAGTTTGAGTTTTAAAAGGGGAAATTGAGCTCTCACCACCACCACCACCACCAAAATAAAATATACAAAATACAAATTGCTTGGGTAACAATATGTTGTTGTAGCTGACACTTTTGAAATAACGGTGGTACAAAGAAATAGCGGAAATTCTTAGTTAGAAAAGAACAGTTTAGCTTAGTTGCGTGGGAGGTATAACATCTGATGGGTTTTAAGATGCTGCATCTATTCTTATACTCTGACTTGTTACTCAGTTAGTAACAAGTGTGCTAATATTATGATACCAAAGAGTCCTGTGACAAACAGTGAGTTGTGGCATAAGGCTCCACAGATTACAATCCCCTCCATTGGATTCATGAAGTATTATCCTGAGTTGAAAGTTACTGTCAGGGAACTGCCATCGGAAGGAAGGGAGGTGAAAGGGCTCACACAGGTTGGGAGAGACTCAGCAGCTGAAGAGGGAACCAGTAGGGGGAGAGGAGCTGAGCTGAGGGAAAGTGAGCTGGAGGGATGGCTCAGAGACACTTCCAGCGAAAACAGTGGGGAGGTTTCAGGACCTCCTGTAGGAACACCCACTCCTCGCCGGAAACTGTCACGCAGAGAGTCCAGAAGACGTGTTTCCGTTAAGGAGCTTTTATGTTGGAAGCGATTCCAAAGCAACCACTGTCGGAATCTGCTAGTGACTAGAGGAGCCATGTCTGAGGGGCTCCGTCACAGACAGAGGTTTGTGGACTTGAACAAACTCTGAGGGGATACTATTTTACGCACAAGCAGCTCATCATCCCATCACAGCATTCCGACAGTCTTTGAAAGCAGCTTGTGCAGGAGAAGGCATCATGAGCAACCCAGCCGGAACCGGAGAAGCAGGAGCTGGAGCGGGTCCAAGCCTGGAAGAAAGGTACCGGGTGTTGGAGGTCCAGCTAGCGCTGCAGACGGCGAGGCTTGAGGAGAGGAGGGCTCAGGATGCAGACAAAAGGGGAAAGCCACCCAGCTCGCCAGAAAGGTACCAGGATTGGTGCAGAAGTTTGGGGGGGAGCCCAAAGACTATCATGGCTTTCGGACAGAGATGCAATATGCCCTCAATCTGCAGTTTGATGAATTCCCTGACGAGGAATCACGAGTGGCTTTCGTGATTGGGCATCTTGAAAAGGGGGCGAGAGACTGGGTTAGACCCCTGATGGCAGCGAATAGTGACGTCCTAAAGGACACGATGAAGTTCTTTCGCGCCATGGATCTGATGTTTTCCAGCGATATTGAACAGGGAGTGGTGCGCAGACAGTTAATGGCTTGCAAACAGGGGAGCCGATCTGTCCGTGAGTACTGGACTGAGTTCACCATGCTGGTTCACAGATTGGGGTGGGACTTATCGGCGGAACCCATTCAAATGCTCTTTGAAGAAGGGCTTTCTTCGGCTGTGAAAGACGAACTTTCCCGGGCGCCCAGCTGACCAAATCAGCGCTGACCATAGGAGCGCGCCAGGAGGCGAGAGCATTGGAGAGGCGGGAAGGGAAGGGGGAACGTTGGAAGGAGTTCCGCATTCCAGACATTCCAGAGCCAACTTTCCCGCCGGCAGAGCCGATGGAAATCGGAACAGCGCGCGCGCGCAGTTTCAAAGCCCAGTGAGGGGGAAAGAAGGAGGGAAAACGCGCCCGGAAATGCTATCTCTGCCAACAGCCAGGTCACTTTGCCAGAGTCTGCCCCCAGAGGAAGGAATGGCAAGGGATGGTAGGAGCTGTGGAGGGAAGAGAGGAAGAAATACCGGAGCAAGTAAAAGCCAACGCCTGGCTGCCACCGTCGGGGCACAGCAGCCAGGCCAAAGAGCAGTGAGAGTGCCCACGCCAGAACCTCCTAAACCCGCCCTAGTGATAGAAGTGGCGCTAGAGCTGCCAAACGGACACCCTCTAAAGATAAAGGCGCTGTTGGACTCAGGCAGCTCCTGCAATTTCATGAGCAAAGAGTTTGCAGCTGAACACCAGATACAGACGATCCTTTAAGCAACCCCTGCAGGTGACCACGATCGATGGCAGGGAGCTGTTGGGAGGAGAAGTCAGCTTGCAGACCGTCCCAATGATAATGAAGGTGGCAAGGCACACCGAACTGATAGCGTTTAATGTGGCCACCTTGGGAGGAGCTCCCATTATATTGGGGATGAGCTGGCTAGCGTTACATGATCCGCTGGTGGGCTGGCATCAGAGAGTGGTTTCTTTTGGTTCAGCACATTGCTTAGAACACTGCAAAGAGGGAAAGGGTTTGGCAGGGGCCCAAGCCACCCTAGCAGGGACTGAAGTAACGGAGAACGTGAAGGTACCACGACAATACGCAGATCTCCGCGACGTCTTCAGCGAAAGGGAAGCTGACCAACTACCCCCGCATAGACCCTTTGACTGTCAAATCAATTTACTCCCTGGGGCACAGCTCCCTGTAGGCAAGCTGTACGCCATGTCAGACAGAGAGATGCAGGAGCTAAGAGAGTTCATTGACAAGAACCTGAAGAGAGGGTTCATCAGAGAGTCCAGGGCGGTGGGGGCAGCCCAGTGTTTTTGTGGATAAAAAACACGAACAAGCCGAGGCTGGTGTGTGACTTCAGGGCCTTAAATGCAGTGTCAGAACCAGTGGCCTTCCCTATGCCCAGGATTGACGACATTTTGACAAGGGTGCGGAAGGGAAAGATTTTCACAAAGCTGGACCTAAGGGGGGCGTACAACCTGATACGAATAAGGAAGGGGGATGAATGGAAAACCACCATGTTCACCCCTTTAGGGGCATTTGAATATTTGGTTATGCCCTTCGGCCTACAAGCAGGCTCCGCATGCTTTCAATCGTTTATGAACCACGTCCTGGGGCCTTTGCTTTACAAGAATTGTGTGGCCTTCTTAGACGACGTGTTGGTGTATTCTGAGAATGAGGAGCAGCATGTGAGAGACGTCAGAGAAGTGTTGAGCAGGCTGCAAGCCAACCAGCTGTGGGTGAAACTGGAGAAGTGTCAGTTTCATACCAAGGAGGTGGAATTCCTGGGGTATCGCCTGTCAGACAAGGGATTGGCCATGGATCCCGGCAAGGTCCAGGCGGTGCTGGAATGGAAAACACCCAAAACAAGGAAGGACGTGCAGAGGTTCCTAGGATTTGGGAACTTCTATCGTAAGTTCATCCGAAACTTTGCCCACCTGACGGCGCCCATTACGGACTGTCTCAGCAGTAAGAAGAAGTTCGTTTGGACTGAGGAGGCGGAGTGAGCATTTGAGGAACTAAAAAGGGCCTTCGCCTCGGAACAACAACTCCTGCATGTGGATTTACAAAAACCGATGAGAGTGGAAACTGACGCATCAGACAGAGCGATTGGGGCGGTGCTTCTGCAGCCAGGGAAGGAGGAGTCAGAGTGGAGACCGTGTGCTTTTTTCGCGAAAGCTGAACAAATCCGAGAGGAACTACACGGTGTATGACCGAGAACTACTAGCCATTCATGAGGCGTTCCGGAGATGGAGGCACCTGCTAATTGGCGCACAACATAAGGTGCAAGTGTGCACTGACCACAAGAACCTAGAGTATTGGAGGACGGCACGAGTGCTCAACCAACGGCAAGTGAGATGGGCCCAGGAGTTCTCCAAATTTAACTTTGAGATTGGTTACGTGCCAGGCCCAGAGAACATTAGGGCGGACGCTCTCTCACGCAAACCTGAATATTTGGAGGGGAGGGAGCACCCGAAGAGAGACATGTCATTCCAGAGGACCGCTGGGTGTGTGGGGCGGCATTGGTGGGACAAAGAGAACTGGTAGAGGAAACAGAGAATGATGAATACGCCCAGAATAAGCTCAGAGGTCTTAGGGGTGAGGGAGAGGAACCAGGGGTTTCGAGGAAAGAAATGGAGCTTTGTATTACAAAGGGGCACTGTATATCCCTGAAGGAGACTTAAGGGGAGGGTACTCAAGCAGTTGCACGACAGCCCTACGGCGGGGCATTTTGGACAACACAAAACCATGTGGTTGGTCACCAGGGAATTTTGGTGGCCTAAGGTGAGGGAAGATGTACGTGAGTATGTAAGAGGGTGCGAGCAATGCCAGCGAGCCAAAGGGGAAAGGCGGGCGCCGGCGGGGCTATTAGAACCCTTACCAACCCCAGAACGACCTTGGGAGGCAGTGTCGATAGATTTTATGACTGATCTGCCGAAGTCCAAAGGGAAAACAGCCATCATGGTGGTGGTAGACCTACTAACAAAGATGTGCCACTTTGTAGCTTGCTCGCATGCAGTCACGGCGGAAGAGACAGCGAAGTTATTTGTAGAACACATTTTTAGGTTGCACGGGGTGCCATTGAGGGTGGTCTCAGACCGAGGAAAACAATTTACTTCCAGGTTCTGGAGGAAGCTCATGAGCTTACTGCAGGTGGAGGTCAATTTTTCGACTGCCCGGCACCCTGAAACCAACGGGCAGGCGGAAAGAGCAAACGGTGTCCTCCAGCAATACCTGAGGTGTTATGTCAATGACAGAGAGAATGACTGGGTAGAAAAGTTGGCGCTGGCGGAATTTGCCTACAACAATGCCGAGAATGTGTCCACAGGGATGAGCCCCTTCTTGGCTAATTATGGGTGTCATCCCAGGGCTTTCCCAGGGGGAGATGGGGAGAGATGGAGCGTCCCGGCAGCCGAGCATTTTGTGGAAGAAATGGAAGCAATCCATCGTCAGCTCCAACTCAACTTAGAAAGGGCGAAGGAAGAATACAAGAGGCAGGCAGACAAGAACCGAAGGGAAGGTGAAACCATAAGGGTGGGAGATAGGGTGTGGCTGTCAACCCAAGGGTTGCCGCTCAAAGGAGGTTGTAAGAAATTAAGACCCAGGAGGTTGGGTCCCTTTGAGGTCATTCAACAGGTCAACCCAGTGGCTTTCAGGCTCCGGTTACCCAACCACATGAAACTGCACCCAGTATTTCACAGGTCGTTACTGTCACCGTACGAAGGGGGACGAGAAGGGATGGCCACTGGGACCGGTCATAGAAGAAAGAGAATGCAGCAGCCATGTGGCAGAAATCCTCGACGCCAGGTGGAAGGGGGATCAGGTGGAGTATTTGGTAGCGTGGGAAGGAGAACCGGAGTCAGAAAACACTTGGGTAATGGCCGAAGATATCAATGACGAGGTATTGATAGAAACGTTCCATCAAAGGTTCCCAAGGAAACCTCAGCCTGTGGAGAGGTTCCGGAGGGAATACTTTGGGACCACTGATGAGGAGGAGGAGTTGGAAGGATTCCCGGACTCGGAAGGGGAAGGGGAGATGGACTCTGAGGAGGAGGAGTACTTCGAGACCAGGAACCGCAACAGGTGGAGAGAAGTGTTCGAGACATCGGAAGATGAAGGAAGTTCATTCCGGGTTTTGCCTCCTCACCGCCCGTAGAGGAGGGGGCGAGAGGGGTGAAAGGGGCCCTGGAGGGGAGGTGGATGTCAGGGAACTGCCATCGGAAGGAAGGGAGGTGAAAGGGCTCACACAGGTTGGGAGAGACTCAGCAGCTGAAGAGGGAACCAGTAGGGGGAGAGGAGCTGAGCTGAGGGAAAGTGAGCTGGAGGGATGGCTCAGAGACACTTCCAGCGAAAACAGTGGGGAGGTTTCAGGACCTCCTGTAGGAACACCCACTCCTCGCCGGAAACTGTCACGCAGAGAGTCCAGAAGACGTGTTTCCGTTAAGGAGCTTTTATGTTGGAAGCGATTCCGAAAGCAACCACTGTCGGAATCTGCTAGTGACTAGAGGAGCCATGTCTGAGGGGCTCCGTCACAGACAGAGGTTTGTGGACTTGAACAAACTCTGAGGGGATACTATTTTACGCACAAGCAGCTCATCATCCCATCACAGTTACATATATATGCATGGTTTGTGGGCACATATTATTATAATGAAGGAAGAGGGAAACTGAACAAGTTTTGCACCAAGGGAGGAAATATGAGGATATTAAACCCATCAAAGCTAGATGGGTGAATGGGCCCATTCCCAATACCATTTGCATCAGTGTTATGTGCATCCATCACATTTGACTGTAATTATCTCCACATTTGGCTGCAATTATCCCTACAAATTACTAAATGGCAATGCAGATGTAATATGTCTAGGATGCCTCTGAAGCCTCCTGGAATTATGGCTAAGTGAATGAAAACACGGGGAAGACCAATGGCGGGGTGGAAGAGAGACAAACAGATCTCTCAGAATGGAAAATGGAAAAAAGACACCGGCTATCTGAAAATGCTAAGATATACACTGATATAAGAAATGGAGAGTATATTGGAGAATGGAAACCCACTGTTACCAGAGATGCAATTGTTGCAGTGCCATCGATTTTAATTTTGAGTTTTTTTGTGGATAAGAACTGCCTCAACTATTGATTTATATGACACAGGTTTCATGAATAAGGCTGGTGCCAAAATGAGTACTTGGAGAAGCATCCTAGCAACAGAGCAATCATTCGGTTTGTTATTTCAGCAGACTTTGAATTCATTGTTGGAGCTATGCTCATCTTTATTACCAGTTTGCTTGCTTTAGATGTTCTCAGCATATTTTTTCCTCACAGCGATGGAAGAGCAGCAGTGGAGCCAGATCTAAAATATAATTTGCTGATTTGATGACAATTATGTGGGAGGGAGGCAGGAGAGGATATATTGTTTAATGATATCCTTCCTAACTTGCGCTAGCAAGTTCTATATCTTAGCAGAGTTTAAACATTCCCCTTTAAACCAGGGGTCAGTAAACTTTTTCAGCAGGGGGCCAGTCCACTGTCCCTCAGACCTTGTGGGGGGCCGGACTATATTTTTTGGGGGGATGAACAAATTCCTATGCCCCACAAATAACCCAGAGATGCATTTTAAATAAAAGCACACTCATGTACTTTTACTCATGTAAAAACACCAGGCAGGCCTCACAAATAACCCAGAGATGCATTTTAAATCAAAGGACACATTCTACTAATGTAAAAACACGCTGATTCCTGGACTGTCTGTGGGACAGATTTAGAAGGCGATTGGGCCGCATCTAGCCCCCGGGCTTTAGTTTGCCTACTCTTGCTTTAAACGCACAGCGGTTTGCTTGTTGCAAGTTCGTCTGAACCTCTCTATATAAGATTCTTGGTAAGATCCCTTCTTGTCCCTCTTAAAAAGAATAGAAATGACAATCTTATTAAAGTGAATATAAAAGCAGTTTACTCACAATCATTCAGTTCACAGTTGGATCCCTGAAGGCAGACTTAGGTTACAAAACTATATACACATGTGGAACTATCCCATAAGGGAATAGTTCCTAAGTGACTGCGAACAGGCAGTCACTTCTGCTCACATGTAGTACAGCAAAATGGAGAAGAGACAAACGAAGGAGCTGTGCTCCCTTGCCCAGGTTTGGCCTCACAAACTCTAGTCACATGCAGAGGAAGTTTTGTCCCGGCTCAGGAGGAAACAGGAAGTTTTCTCCTGGGTGATACAAAGCATTCCGTAGCATATCCACTCTAGGAATGTTGTACTTGACTGTTATAATAGTGGTGCCCCGCAAGACGAATGCCTCAGAAGACGAAAAACTCGCAAGACGAAAGGGTTTTTCGTTTTTTGAGGTGCTTCGTAAGACGAATTTCCCTATGGGCTTGCTTCGCAAGACGAAACGTCTTGCGAGTTTGTTTCCTTTTGAAGCGGGAACTGGGCTGGCAGGGAGCGAGCGAGGGAGCGACCTACCTTTTCCAGAGGGATCCTCTTCTGGAGAGGGCACAGAGGAGGCAGGTGGGCTGGGATCCAGCGGATCTGGCTGGGTCTCTGCGCCGCCGCCACCTTTGCCTCTCTCTTTCTCTCCCCCTCCCCACGTGGCTGCTCCATTTTGCCCTACCTGCGCGAAGGCAGGAGGAGGCGGGACAAAGGAGGAGGAGGAGGAGGCATCCACTGCACTTGGGCCGCCGTGAAGGCGCCTTTGCGGGGGTGGGAAAAAGCCGGGAGCAGCTGCCGAGACTGTGGGGAGCCCGGCGGCGTGGCGCAAGGTAACGGGGGGAGCAAGGGAGAGTCCGCGCCGGGCGCTTCGTGCGTCCGCCCTCGGTTCCTGGGCTCGAACTGCCTTTGGCACCTCGTGGAGAGAGAGGGAGAGGAGCAGGCTGGGGCTTTGGTGTGGGACGCGGTTTGGCGGAGCGAAGACGCGGCAAGGCTTGGCGACAGAGGAAGGGGGGCTGTTTTCGTGGGGAGGTGGGAGGGGGTGTCTTTGCCTCTTCCCGGCAACAGATCCTCCAGGCTGGGGAAACTCCTCCTGCTGGGGAGTGACCCGCTTTGTGCTTTGCCCGCTATCCCATTATAATACAGTACCAGGGTGCATCCGTGCTTCACAAGACGAAACAATCCGCAAGACGAAGAAACTCGCAGAACGGATTAATTTCGTCTTGCGAGGCACCACTGTAATAATAATAATAATAATAATAATAATATAATATTATTATTTATACCCCGCCCATCTGGCTGGGCTTCCCCAGCCACTCTGGGCGGCTTCCAAAAGAATATTGAAATACTGTGATACATCAAACATTAAAAGCTTCCCTAAACAGGGCTGCCTTCAGATGTCTTCTAAAAGTCTGGTAGTTGTTGTTCTCTTTGACATCTGGTGGGAGGGTGTTCCACAGGGAGGGCGCCACTACCGAGAAGGCCCTCTGCCTGGTTCCCTGTAACTTGGCTTCTCGCAGTGAGGGAACTGCCAGAAGGCCCTCAGCGCTGGACCTCAGTGTCCAGGTAGAACGATGGGGGTAGAGACGCTCCTTCAGGTATACTGGACTGAGGCCGTTTAGGGCTTTAAAGGTCAGCACCAACACTTTGAATTGTGCTCGGAAACATACTGGGAGCCAATGTAGGTCTTTAAAGACCGGTGTTATATGGTCTCGGCGGCCGCTCCCAGTCACCAGTCTGGCTGCTGCGTTCTGGATTAGTTGTAGTTTCCGGGTCACCTTCAAAGGTAGCCCCACGTAGAGCGCATTGCAGTAGTCCAAGCGGGAGATAACCAGAGCATGCACCACACTGGCGAGACAGTCCACAGGCAGATAGGGTCTCAGCCTGTGTACCAGATGGAGCTGGTACACAGCTGCCCTGGACACGGATTTAACCTGTGCCTCCATGGACAGCTGTGAGTCCAAAATGACTCCCAGGCTGCGCACCTCGTCCTTCAGGGGCACAATTACCCCATTCAGGACCAGGGAATCCTCCACACCTGCCCGCCTCCTGTCCCCCAGAAACAGTACTTCTGTCTTGTCAGGATTCAATCTCAATCTGTTTGCCGCCATCCATCCTCCAACCGCCTCCAGACACTCACACAGGACCGTCACCGCCTTCACTGGTTCTGATTTGAAAGAGAGGTAGAGCTGGGTATCATCCGCATACTGATGAACACCCAGCCCAAAACCCTGATGATCTCTCCCAGCGGCTGCATGTAGATGTTGAAAAGCATGGGGGAGAGGACAGAACCCTGAGGCACCCCACAAGTGAGAGCCCAGGGGTCTGAACACTCATCCCCCACCACCACTTTCTGAACACGGCCCAGGAGGAAGGAGCGGAACCACTGTATGACAGTGCCCCCAGCTCCCAGCCCCTCAAGACGGTCCAGAAGGAGTTTCACATCCCACAAATATAGGAGATGGGATATGGCAGAGTCAGATGATGATGATGATGATTTATACCCTGCCCATCTGGCTGGGTGTCCCCAGCCACTCTGGGCAGCTTATAGCATGCTTCTCACATGTTGGGAACAGGGAGAGGAATCTTCACTTCACCATCGTAAGAGATTGCCTCCTTCCATGAAAGCCTGCTCACACCCTTAGACTTGGCAGAGGGGCCCTTTTATGTCCTATCAATGATGACTGGACCTAATGGTCAGGGGTCCCTTTACCTTTACTAAACTGCATTAACTGAACGGCTTTGTCAGAGAGGTAAGAAAACGTTTTCTCTATAACGGCCACTCAAGGGCTAATGTTCATCAATTGTTCGGTTACAAACAAAATCCTGGTTCTTTGCGTTTAAGATTTAAGAGTCCTTGTAAAACTGAAGATGTGAGGAAATGTTTCTTTCTGATTTACAGGTTGCGCAGCTTTTGACGGTTCTGAGCTCTGCTTCTTTATGGGTTTCTTTGGCTTGTTCAAGAAAGATGGAATTGCCACTTCGCTGTATTGAAGCTGGTAATCCTTTCTCCTTCCCTTTTGAACTGCCTTTTAGAAAAAGAATGGAATGGCTATTTGTGCCTGATTGATGTTTTGGTTGTGAGAAACCTAAAACTTTGGGAAATCATTGCAAGATCCATTTTCCATGTTCCTAGCACTTTTGATAGCCATTTGTTGATTTTATTTCAGACCAACTTAGAAACACGAGCAGGTGTATTTATACTGCAAAGCAAGCCCTGTCTTCCTTGCAAGGATTGTCAACCTGGTGCCCGTGGGCACCAGCACACCCACCAGTAACTCTTATGGTGCCCCTAGTGGTCCTTGAGTTTCATTTAGGTGGTCTGTGGCGTGTTTGTAAAAATACAATTAAAAATCATACAGCATCTAAATATAGCACATTACAGTTACTACAAACAGCAGAAAAGAGATTTTAAGGGTCACAATCCCCAAATTTTATTCCAATCCTTGGGAAGAATTTGTGTGCTAGTATCTAGTTACCATATTTTTTAGGGGTTCCATAGATCTGTAAGTCACATTAAGCAACACGGAGTACGATTTAGAAACTAATCCTCCCCTCCCCCACTCATTGTGCTTATAAAACTTTTCAAATTGTGTTAAGGGTCTCAGAGCTTCATTTGATTTAAATAAATCCAGTTAGTATTAAGATTCGACAAAGTTAAATTTATATGGCTAATAGATACAGGTTGATTGTTGATATAGAAATGTTGTAATGTGTATTAACCTTTGGATCCCCAGGGTTCAAATTGCTTATCTCTACCTTGCTGGGGGGAAAAATCCGGCTGATGTAATATTGGGATTAATGGAAAAGTTATAGGTGCAATCTTAGGTTGCCAGGTTTTCCATAGCCAAATAGTACAATTCTATATTTCCAGTACTGATTGAACTGCTTCCTTATTGCTGAATATTCCTTATTATCCTGATTATTTTTTGCTCCTTCAGAAGCAATTCTAAAGTGACGTACCTGTAATTCAATGAAACAGGCATTATCCAGGAAACACACCGATTGTGGACAAGTGACAATGAAAAGGAAAGCATAGCTAATAACTGCAAATAGAAGGCCACAAAACACAGTGCCGGTGGAGATGGAAACAGCAGCTCCTGCAATTAAAAAGAGGGAAAGGGTTACGTATTTTTAAATTTTGAAATGTGTCAAGCTTCTAGTATTTGGGAGGCATATGGGTGGACGATTACCTGTTTGTTTGTTTGTTTGTTTGTTTGTTTGTTTGTTTGTTTACAACTGATTAGCATAATGCCTGTCATGACAATGAGGAGAATGTATATGGAGGTACATGTCTTAGACTGAGTCAGAACTATTGGTCCATGTGGCTCAGTAATGTCCACACTGATTGGCTGGGGCTCTCTGGGGCTTCTGACAGGGGTCAGAATGTACCTCCATATACATTCTCCTCATTGTCAGAATGTCCCCTGGAGATGTTGGTAGCTGAACCTAGGACCTTCGACATAGTATTGAGTAAGGCCATTCCCTGTACGGTCTCCCTCAGTGAAAGGCAGTGTTGTCCCATTCACTACCAAGTTCACAAGTCCAGTGCGTTAGTTTTTCCCATAGGAATGAATGGTAAAATAAATGAAAATGGGAGAAAACAAAACCAAGTGGTACAGTTAGGAATACCAATGAGGTGACGGCTCAATCTGATCTCAGTCCCTGGTGACCCCAGCCTTTGGAATTCAAGCCAACTTTTATTTGCTGTGTGGCACTGCCCTGGGATAACGTGGTGCATTAATTTGAAATTTTTAAAAAAGTAAGTGTATATTCCTGAACATATCTACTGAGAAGTTTCTATAAACACTAATCTCAGTATGATAGGAAAATGCAAAAGAAAATTATATATAAATATTTTATTGTTAATTATTCTTGTTAATTATTCTTATTAATTATTCTTATTAATTATTCTTATTAATTACTTCTGGCATTTGCCAGAAGCTATATAATGATGGTGCCAGGCACACCTCTGTTACGTTGCTTAGGGCTGCCACAGAAAATGCCCAGTTTATATGAGGGGGAAATAGGTCCCTCCTCTTACGAAACATTTTACCATTGAGTACGCACACAAGTTTTGACGAATAATAATAGTCATTTATTATTTGATGGCCTGAGGTCATCAAAGCAAAGTACAAGACTAAGATTTAAAAAAATACAAAAAAAAAGGAATTCTAAAAACAGTGAGACCATTCCTACACACTCAAAAGGCAATGAAACCATTCCTACCAAAGTACAAGTCATAAATGACTGGGTTGTGCCTTGGGGAAAGCCTTCTTAAACAAAACTGTCTCCAACGTTCAGTAATGTTGAACAGAGTCCCATCTGTCTCAATACGTTTTGTCTTCCTGGTTTTGGTTCCCATCTGAGATCAAAAGTGACAGAAGCTCTGGCCAAACCCACAACCCATAGCTAGTGCGCTGCTTTTGACTTGATGGGTTACAGATTATTCACATCTGATTTACACACCCCATTTTTCATGGATGTCAGTGACGTTTCTGCAAGCATCTTAGTAGCAGTTTTCATAGAGGAATCCAAAGGGAGGGACTGTTTCAATATCTCCTTTGGTGGAAGTCATTTTTCATGGAATGCTTTTCCAGTTCTTTCTTTCTTTCTTTCTTTCTTTCTTTCTTTCTTTCTTTCTTTCTTTCTTTCTATGTGTAGTCACATAGACTACAATGTGGCCACAAAGAACTGTGAACATTTTGTCGCCGAACTACGATATGGCCCACCTGACAGTAGACAGGTGTGTAGAATTTATTCATGTTTTCATAGTGACAATCTGTGCTGTGATATTGAACAGAGATAGCTGCAGCTTCTAGGATGCAGCAGTTGTGAAGGGGAAGTCTTCCCAATCAACTGTACGCCCATGCCAAGGAAAAGCATCACCTGCTTGAGGGGTGGTGAACCTGTGACCCTGCAGACATGACTAGGCATGGTGACTAACGCTGATGGGAGTTTGGAGTCCAACAACATGTGGAGAGAAGCATGTTGGCTACCCCTGCCTCAGACAGAGATTGTGGTGAATGGGTCTTGTAGGGCAGGAAACCATTGCAGAACAGCCAGAACATAAATATAAGGAGCCTAGCAGGCTGGGAGGACAGGAAAAAAGTGATTTGGTTATTTTACTTTTTGTTGTGCAATTGGGTAGAAGTCTTTTCCTTACACTTCTAGAAGTGAAAGGAACCAGGAATGACCTTTAAAATGTTGGAATACTGGGGAGTTGGGGTGGGGGCTCTAGGCCTCTTTGGCATGTGGAAAACTATCCTAGCAAGTGTTGCCAGGAGATGTTATACTGATGACAACTGTTGCCTTGCTAATAACAGGTTGTTGTTTTTTAAGGCTATAAAGTGAAAACGAAACTGAAAAAGATCTATAAATATCTGAGGACTGAAAGGAGAGGACGGTGAGAGCAAAACATTATGGCTGAGGTAAGTACCTCTCTGCATAGGAGACATTGTCTATCGATCCCCACCCAGTCCAAAATACCTTCCCTTTGATTGTCTTCCCTTTGACTGTTTTTTTCGAAGTAAGAATTGCCACTTGACTTGCTGTCTGTTATACCCTGCTATCTCTGGCTACAAGCCAACGTGCATTTTAGGAGCAAACTGTCATTGAACACAGTGAGACTAACTTCTGTGTAAGAATGCTTAGGATAGTTTTGTCTCTAGCTCAGAACTTTCCAAACTGTGTGTTGCGACACATTCGTGTCGGCTGCAGTGCATAGGTGTTTTCACACGAATGGTCCCTGCGCTCCTCCCGGGCTGGAAAAGGGTTAGATTAACCTCCGGTTTACTAGTGAAACTGAATTACTGTGTCACAAAATGATGCGTGTATAAAAAGTGTGTCACTAGCGTGGAAAGTTTAGAAAGCTCTGCTTTAGCTCCTTCCCCCTGCCTTGCAAGTCTGACTTACAAAAACTGCGATGAATAATCACAGCATCCAAAGGTTGAAAAATTCATCTACTTGTGGGGTGGGGGAAGAGAGCGAGGCTCCTGCAAGCCATAGATACTAAGTTTCGATTTCTTGCAAAAAGAGAGCTTGGAATGAAATCCACGATAATAGCAGCAACTCAGTAAAGCATTGGGCTCTGTACTGTTTATACACTTGTACCTCCCCAGCTGAGCAGTCGCGATCCAGCTCCTGTTCCCGTGCAAGCAGCAACGCTGCCTAGCGGAGCAGCCCGATCCCACTCCTACTTGCCCGCAAGCGGGAGCAGGTGGGGCGGGGACATTCCTCGCCTGTTCGCTTGCCACTCAGGCCCGGCCTTCCCTCACTCAGCGCCAGGGCTGCCACAGCTGGAGGAGGGGGTGGTTGCTGTTGTAGCAGCAGTGGCTGGAGCCAGCGCTGGAGGGTGGCAGGTGCCTGCTTGTTTGTCGCCCGCCCCCCTTCCCTCACTAGGAAAACAGAAGTGTGGCACTCAAAATGGAAGTTATACTCAGAACAGAGCACATTCGGCTTCTGAAAAAGGTTCCGAAACCGGAACGCTCATTTCCAGGTTTGAAGTATTCAGGTTCCAAGTAGTTCGAGAACTAAGCTGTTGGAAAACTGAGGTGCAACTGTATTTATTTTCCCCAATTTGAACTGTATTTATTTTCCCCCCAGTGGTGAATACACACACACACACAATACACACACACAAATAAATGGCCAGAGTTTCCACTTTGGGGGGATTTTTTAAAGCTGGATTCAGCAAAAATCAGCCAGGACGTATGGCAGCCCTAGAATAAGAAAGAACTTTTAAAGAAGACTGGGAAAGATTTGTAGAATATTTGAAAAATCATTACAAACATGTTTAAATGTTAACAGGATTTCAGCGGTATGAAGTATACGGGAACAAAAAGTGAAAAAGAGAGAAAATGGAAAATATAGAATATGCAGTGGTAAAGGTTTAATAAAATGAACCATGGACGGGGGGAAAGGGAAGTCAGTGGAAAATGTATGGTTTGTATTTTGGCTTAATATTATTGTGCAAATTTGTAAAATTGAAAATGATAAATACACTAAAAAATATAACGATGCCACAGAATGAGGTCTGGGATAAATATTTGCCATAAGCTACACAGGTGTAAGAAATCTGTGGTCCTCCAGATGTGGTTGGATTCGAACTCTCATCAACCCTAGCAACTATGGCTAATGACCAGGGACTATGGGAGTTGTAGTACAGCAACATCTGGAAGGCCACAAGTTCTCCATCCCTGAGCTACAGTATAAAAGAAAAGGCTGCCTCTGTGGCTGTGATCCTATGTATTTGGGAGAGTGTTTCATTGAACCTAGTGGGACTTACTTCTGAATAAACTTGCACAGAAATTTTACGACGCAATACATTGGCCCACTTACGTCTGGCAGAGACCAAAGCCTGGAGACCAGATTGAGATTTATCGATTGGGTTACCAACACTGGGCTATCTACGTAGGCGATGGATATGTGGTTCACCTGACTGCTGCAGGTAAGAGCTTCTCATTATTTCCTAGAAAGGGTGATTTTATGAGAGGGAAGAATAAGATAGAGATCATTGGCAGATTACCCCTGAAGAAACACAGCCCTTAAGGGGGGGGAGGTTCCCCACCACTGGCTTAGGGACTAATTGTTGCTGGAAGTTCTACGTCCTGATACTTGCAATTGTTGTAAGCCAGTTAGAGGACTGCTTTGTAGCCAAGAGATTGCATTCTGGTTGGTTGTAAGTTGTTTTGGGTTGCCTTGGGCAAGATAAGAGTGACTAACAATTTAAAAAATAATAATAGTATTTGTCAAAACAACAACAACTGATGTCTTCTTGAAGACAATGTTGTTGATGAAATGCAGGGAATCCAGGCCTAATGGTCACTGTTTCTGAGTTTCTTTTCTCTCTCCATTCTTGAGATGGGGGTATAGGAAATTTTTTCTCTGCCGACACAAAAAAGGCAATGGTGAAGAAAGAAAAGCTTTCAAATGTGGCGGGGCTAAGCAGATGGAAGGTCAACAACGAGAAGGACAGAAAATATAAAGCCAGGCCTGTAAGCGAAATAATTAGCATTGCAAACCAATGTGTTGGGAAGAAGATTGACTACAATGTGGTCACGAATAACTGTGAACATTTTGCCGCCATACTACGATATGGCCAACCTGACAGTAGACAGGTGTGTAGAATTCATTCACGTTTTCATAGTGGCAATCTGTGATGTGATATTGAAATTCTTTCTAAACTCTTGATCCTGGAAAATTAGGTGAGATTAAGAAGCAGTTAATTTACTTTATTTTTATGTGAATATAATAGTTGAGGAAAAGCTGCCAAACGATATATATAAAATACTAATAAAAGCTAATAAAAGACTGATAAAAATAATAAAAACCGCACGACTGATGCGGCGCTCACGCCGATGCTACCACTAACGGCGCCATCTTTACTTGGAGTATATTGAAGGACTGCAAACCAGAACAGAAAAAAATGGATATCATAACTTCTAAAAGTAACTTGAATTCACACATTCAAATTGTCTGAAGGAACAAATGAAAAGATTAAAAACTCAGAACTCAGGTTTCCAAATTAATGACAGGCTTGTACCCTGATGAAAAACGTTGGGTCTGTATTCTTTTAATATTTTTCTAACTATAGCCACAGAACTCAGATTTTTGCACGAAAGCATGTTCTGTTACAAGGAATTAATTTTTAAAGCATATTTTAAACCCAGAGTTAATTGCCTTGGAATCTGAATTTCAAATCTGGCTATTTTCTGTCTCCAAAAGAAACATTTAAAGCAAAGTTTCATATCAACTCAGTTGTGAGAAATGAAGGACCATCAGCCACTGTGAATAAAAATGCTTAAATCTCTTATTTTTTGCAGGTGGAAGAACCTTCTTTTCTAAACTGGATAGCAGACCAGATCGGTTGGTAAACACCATTAGTTGGTGTTCAATATATGATGAGACATGTGAACAATCTAAAAGACTGTTGGAGGACAATCCTAGGCTGGCTTCTAACAAGATCCCATTATAAAAGAACAACAGTTATTGAATAAAAACGAAAACATCAAATCAATCAAGAGTTAGGTTTTCTGTCTTCATCCATTAGTGTGAATTTTGAAGGATGGCTCTGTTTCAGTTTGTGCATTGTTTTGTAAAGTGCAGAGTAGTTAAGAATTTGAATGTGAATTGAATCAAATTTCTCCCTGCTACCTCTAGATGTGGTAGAGGACACTGATCAACATTGAAGTAAGGTTCAGTTGCCAGTCTGGTCAACTTCTGTACTTGGAATGGATGCCGCCATCTTGTTTCAGGCCACCCTTGACATGTACAACGTTTCGCTGCAGGCCTCGGTTGTTAAAAATCAATACGTGTCTATATAAAGAATCCCACAACAGTGTAGCTTGTGAATTCATTGGCATTTGGGTTTTCATAGCCCCCTTCAATGGAGGAGGGGAAAGAGTCTTCTTTACTTGTGTGTTTAGCTGAAATCTCAGCCCTCAATCCTTCTTCCTTCACCTCAACTTCCCATTTTCTCAATATGTTTTTGTTTCCTGGTTTTGGTTCCCATCTCCCATCTGAGACCAAAAGTGACAGAAGCTCGCTCTTTCTTTCTTTCTTTCTTTCTTTCTTTCTTTCTTTCTTTCTTTCTCTCTCTGCTCTGCCATGAATAAAAAAAATCTAGTTAAAAGAAACTCATGAACAACAATACCATAATTAAAAATTAAAGGAGAAGGAAAAAAATATATCCAAGAAACATCATTATTAAAAAATATTGAAAGAGAATGTGCCCTGGTCTTCAAGGGTGGCTTTTCAAAGGGGGTGGGCAGGCTGGGAATCTTCATGCATTCATGGTAGGTTAAGCATAGCCCTTTGGCTCCTGGTGTTTGGACTTTGCAAATACAGTCGTACCTCGGCTCCTGAATGCCTTGGGAGTCAAACGTTCCGGCTCCCGAACAGTCAAAACCCAGAAGTGAGTGTTCCGGTTTTAGAATGTTCGTTTGGAAGCTGAATGTCTGACAAGACTCTCATGGCTTCTGATTGGCTGCAGGAGTTTCCCTCAGCCAATCAGAAGCCGTGCTATGGAAGTCGAACGTTTTGGAAGTCTAATGGACTTCTGGAACGGATTCTGTTCGACTTCCGAGGTACGACTGTACTTGGGAATGTTGTTGATGAAATAAAGACGTCCCATTAGCTAAAAACAGATGCATGTTGAATACTTAAAACACACACACAAATGGGATTTCTAAAATTGAAGGAGCAAAGGAGCCATTGAAACTGAAGAAAGAGTTTCACATACCGGTCCACCCATTTACAGCTTCGGAAATATGGTAATGGTGTTAATGCAACTGAGCTCAAATTAATTACTTGGCTCCAGAGCTACATTTAAAAAGGTAGAGCAAAATGCTGGTAGTGAGCTATTAATTAGGCCTTATCTGGTTCAGTACTTTTGTAATTTTGAAATTACTTTTGTAATTTTGAAATGAATTGTTGGTTGCTTAATAACAAACACACTTCTTTGAAAGTGGATCGCAGTGACCCTGAGGAAGCTTCTTTCCACATGGATTTGCTTAGCATTAGAGTCTAACGGAATTTTACGTGCAGCAGGTGGGCTGCTATTTTGGCACAATTAGAGAGCCACAAACATCAGCCACATAGTTGTTCTCCAAGACATCTGAACGTGGCGTTTCTTCACTTTGAAAATAACATGATGGCCCCATTTGTGGGTGGGAAATGGGAAGGGCCATTTATTCAGGTGGGGGTAAAGTCCTTCTCCATACTTCTTAAACTTCTGGAAACAAGATCAGGCTGAGGATCCAAGAGATTCCTGGGAGCTCTTCGGAAGATTTATAGGGTGTTTAATGCTGTGAATCTTTACCTACAGTCAACCCATGTAATTATGCAAGTCCTATATCACAAAATGCCAATAAGTCTCCAGTGACTTCATTGCAATGGAAGCAGAACCTGAGGGCATTCTGAGCCCCTGAACTCCTCAATGCTTGGGGAATTGGGACACACACAAACACACACACACAGAGAGAGAGACAGGCAGGCAGGCAGGCAGACAAACAAACAAACAAACACACTCGTCGTCAAAGCAGGTACAAGGATCAGAAAGAAACTGTCTGGAAGACAGAGATAGCTGCAGCTTCTAGGATGCAGCAGTTGTGAAGGGGAAGTCTTCCCAATCAACTGTACGCCCATGCCAAGGAAAAGCATCACCTGCTTGAGGGGTGGTGAACCTGTGACCCTGCAGACATGACTAGGCATGGTGACTAACGCTGATGGGAGTTTGGAGTCCAACAACATGTGCAGAGAAGCATGTTAGCTACCCCTGCCTCAGACAGAGATTGTGGTGAATGGGTCTTGTAGGGCAGGAAACCATTGCAGAACAGCCAGAACATAAATACAAGGAGCCTAGCAGGCTGGGAGGACAGGGAAAAAGTGATTTGGTTATTTTACTTTTTGTTGTGCAATTGGGTAGAAGTCTTTTCCTTACACTTCTAGAAGTGAAAGGAACCAGGAATGACCTTTAAAATGTTGGAATACTGGGGAGATGGGGTGGGGGCTCTAGGCCTATTTGGCATGTTGAAAACTATCCTAGCAAGTGTTGCCAGGAGATGTTATACTGATGACAACTGTTGCCTTGCTAGTAACAGGTTGTTGTTTTTTAAGGCTATAAAGTGAAAACGAAACTGAAAAAGATCTATAAATATCTGAGGACTGAAAGGAGAGGACAGTGAGAGCAAAACATTATGGCTGAGGTAAGTACCTCTCTGCATAGGAGACATTGTCTATCGATCCCCACCCAGTCCAAAATACCTTCCCTTTGATTGTCTTCCCTTTGACTGTTTTTTCAAAGTAAGAGTTGCCACTTGACTTGCTGCCTGCCTCACGCTGCTATCTCTGCTGCAAGCCAACATACGTTGAACACAGTGAGACTAACTTCTGAGTAAGAATGCTTAGGATAGTTTTGTCTCTAGCTCAGAGCTTTCCAAACTGCGTGTTGTGACACATTCGTGCGTCGGCTGCAGTGCGTCGGTGTTTTCACATGAATGCTGCCTGCGCTCCTCCCGGGCTGGAAAGGGGTTAGTTTAACCTCCGGTTTGCTAGTTAAACTGAATTACTCTGTCACAAAATGCTGTGTGTATAAAAAGTGTGTCACCAGCAAGAAAAGTTTGGAAAGCTCTGCTTTAGCTCCTTCCCCTGCCTTGCAAGTCTGACTTACAAAAACTGCAATAAATAATCACAGGGTCCCAAATTCATCTGCTTGTGGGAAGAGAGCGAGGCTCCTGCAAGCCATGGATACTAAGTTTTGGTTTCTTGCAAAAAGAGAGCTTGGAATGAAATCCACGATAATAGCAGCAACTCAGTAAAGCGCCGGGCTCTGTACTGTTTATATGCCTGTAATTTTATGTAAGTTTTCTTGACTTAAATATTTTTATTTAAGTTTGCTTGACTTTCATTTTTATACTTTATTTTATTGTGCAATATTTGAACTGATTTTTGTTTCTGCCTTTGGCTCATTATAAAACCAATAAACATTTTGTCTGCAGCATGTGTTGGATGGGGCGGGAGAGGATGCGGTGCTTTTTTCAGACTTAAAGAACATGAGAATAGCCTGCTAGATCAGGCAATGGCCCATCAACCTAGTCCAGCATCCTGTTCTCATAGTGGAGCAGGTGGCGCTGTGGACTAAACCACTGAGCCTCTTCGGCTTGCTGATTGGGAGGTCAGCGGTTCGAATCCCCGTGAGCTCCCATCTGTCCCAGTTTCTGCCAACCTAGCAGTTCGAAAGCACACCAGCACAAATAGATAAATAGGCATTGCTGCAGGAGGGGGTCAGGTAAACGGCATTTCCATGTGCATTCCTTGCCTGCTCGCTTGCCACTCAGGCCCAGCCTTCCCTCGCTCAGCGCCGGGGCTGCCAGAGCTGGAGGAGCGGGTGGTTGCTGTTGTGGCAGCAGCGGCAGGACCCAGCCCTGGAGGGCGGCAGGTGCCTGCTTGCTTGTCGCCTTCCTGCCTTCCCTCACTAGGAACATGGAAGTGCGGCACTCAAAATGGAAGTTATACTCAGAACAGAGTATGTTCGGCTTCTGAAAAAGGTTCCAAAACTGGAACACTCATTTCCGGGTTTGAAATATTCAGGTTCCAAGTAGTACAAGAACTATAAGATATTTATTAAAGTTTCAAAAATAAAAAAAGAAGTTACAATAGTAATAATAAGAAAAAGGAAAAAAGAAAGAAAAAAGGAATAAAAGAAAGAAAGAAGAGAATACAAAATACAAAGAAGTAAAAACAATTAAAAACAAATCAATCTTTCCATATCTTGTCTTTCATTCACTTGTTTCCCTGACCTCCTCACACCTCCCCTTTTTTGTATTCCAGTTCAGTAAGTTAATTCAGCAAATCCTTTCCCTCTTTGTTTTTATCTTAGACCTTTGTCTTAATATGTAATAACTGTATATTCTCATCTGTTAGCAGTCCATTTTTACATACTCCTTGTAACATTGCTGCTAAAAACCCCTTAGCTTCATTCCAACATCATTCTAACATTCATTAATTTTACAGTATTTCTGTAGATAATCTTTAAATTTCTTCCAATCTTCTTCCACCGACTCTTCTCCCTGGTCTCGGATTCTGCCAGTCATTTCCGCCAGTTCCATATAGTCCATCACCTTCATCTGCCAT